AGGGCAGCCTGTGGACAAAGTGACTGTGTCATTCCTCCTCCGAACCAGGGCATTTTGAGAGCAGAAAGGGGGTGCTTGAAATCATTTAAGTTATGTTTTTTTGGAATATTTATTGGCCAACACTGGTCGTCTTGTATTGCAGAACCTATAAAAAGTTTTATTCAAAACTGTTGTCGGACCCTGGCTGGGCAGCTCAGTTGACGAGAGCGTGTCCCGACACACCAAGGCTCGGGTTCGAGCTCCCGTCGCAGCACATGCAGGAACCAACCAGCGAGTGCGTCAGGAAGGGGAACACAAGTCAGTGTTCCTCTCTCTCTGTTCCTCTCCCCCTTCCTCTCTCTCTCTCTCAAATCAATAAGTAAATCAATACTATTTTCAAAAACAAAATTTACTTGGAGCATTTCCTTAATTATCTGAGATCTTGCTTTGGGCTCGTTCTCAGTTTGTCTCAGATAAACTCTAATAATTAAACTCTTATACAATAAAAAAATATTTCTCTAAAATGTACCTATGCACACGAAAACAATTTTTTAATTATATTGATTATGCGAACATTAAAAGCAAAAAAGAAAAATCGGAAGAGTGGCAAAAGCAGCCCATTCTTTCTGACGTGCATGTCCACACGCTAAGCCGCTGGCGGGCGGTGTGCTACCGGCACGAGTGGCCTGCTGACCGGGGGCTTCGCGGCAGCCGACGCCAAGGCTGGGCGGCCCTGCTCGCACGGTCCTGTGAGTTGGCCAGACGCCGTTGCTGGGTTCTCTCCTGGAGCCTCCTCATGTGGCTGCAGCCGGTGGCAGCTGGCTCTCTTATCCACGATGATGACAGCATCTGTCCCCATGTCCCCCAACTGGGCAGCTGGTACGCTGAGGGTGGTTGGCATCGCCCCTCGGCTAGCCAGGGCTTCCTCACACCTTAACAGCCTCAGGGTCCTTGGGGTGTCACATGTGGGCAGGCTCCCCCAGGGAGCGCGTTTCCAAGGCCCCCGTGAAGCCTGCACCACCACATCCCCTGAAACCCTGGGGACAAGAGCAAGTCCCCAAGCTGGCGCAGAGTTAAAGAGACACCCTGCCAGCAGGGGCGCCAGCCCACGGGACCCATGGGAGGCCACCTGTGGATTCTGCCTTCACACTGTCGCTGCTGGTTTTCGGAAGATTTTTTTTTTAAGATTTCATTTATTTATTTTTAGAGAGGGGAAGGGAGGAAGAAAGAGAGGGAGAGAAACATCCATGTGCAAGAGAAACGATCAGTTGCCTCGTGCACACCCTCAAGAGGGGACCTAGCCTGCATCCCAGGTGTGTGTCCTACTGGGAATTAATTGGACCAGCGACCCTTAGGTTTCTGGGAGGCTGCCTGACCCACTGAGCCACACCAGCCAGGGCTGGGGACTGTATATTGAAAGCTTTTTTTCCTTTCATAACATTGCCTACCATCTTCATAAAAGTTACATTTATATTTAGTAAATTTAACATTTCTGGCATTTAATTGATTCTTCTCCATGTATCATACTATTCTTAATTGAGAAAATGTCTCAATTCTAAATTTGCCCATTTTAGAACATATAGTTTGGCCCAGGCCTTGTCTTTTTGCCTCTACTCGGAGTATTTTTCTCTGACAAGTCTCTTATAAATTGTCTTTATGATCTTTTGAATGCCTCATCAAATTCAGATGCCACAAAACTGGAGGCATTTTCAATTTCGTTCCATTCTAGGACAGAATATAAATTTAACTAATTAAAAATGACAACTCCACCAAAAGATTCTTACCAGAAATTGGAATGTTCCCTCACGCCATTGTGGAATTTCGAAATGAAATACACTGAGCACCAGTCATCTTATTTGTTTAGGTTTTCCGTCAGGAGAAGAATTTCAGGGCTTTCTCAGTCACGTGCTTTATGGTGGGTGATTGCAACTTCTTACACATTTTTAAAGCCGCGGGGTCATTGCGCTTGATTTTAAAAGGTCCTGGCAAGGGCTCAATGTCCCTACCACAGTTTGTAGCGGCCGCGGGCTGCACGTCTCTTCGTAGTCAGAGTCGGCTTCACAAAAATTATTCTGTTACTCCGAACATACAGACATATGCGTTCAGACTGAGAGCCACAGCGTTGTTTTCCATAGGTGGGCTGTCGCGGCCTGTGCCGACATAACCCTGCGTTACCGCCCTGCCGCTAATTCTGAGCATGTCCTGATCCCTGGGTTCTTGGTTTAGTGAAAGCATATTCCCCGTGACACTATATGTCACCAAAATCGGTGTTTGAGTATCACTACAGAAACAGTTTCACATTCAGTGTGGAGCTTTCTGACCGAGTTGATCGCAGCCTGTCACCCTTGGTACACCAGTCGGCGTCAAGGCCCACGGAGCGCGTGCTCCGTGGGGAGCCTTTGGCTGGTGCTGGAGCCGCCCCGGCATCGTCGCCAGCGGTCAGGAGGGTCTGCTGCTCACAGAACCCGCACCGACTGACTCTCGCCTTGTCTCTCCTTGAGCGTCACAGACCTCAGAATGGAAACGTGAGTGACGTTAACAGAGAGGAACTACCATTTGATCTAAATGAAGTTGTTTTACAGTTATGTGTGAAGACATCGCAGTGCTACTTACCTTCGATGTGTGCTCTTAAAAGAACTGACTATTGGAGAAGATGCTAGAGCTTCTTCAGCAAATCTAAGACTTGATTTTCAGGCCTGGCCAGGTAGCTCAGTTGGTTAGAGCGTCGTCGAGATGCACCAATGTTGTGGGTTCAATCCCCAGGCAGGGGATGTAAAAGAAGCAGCCAGTGCGTGTGTAAATAAGTGGAACAACACCTGGTTGTTTCTTTCTCCCTCCCTTTTTCTCTCTAAAAAGACTTGATTTTTTCATATTTGCAGTTAGCACTACAGATGGTCAGTGTTGAAAAACATTCAAGTGACTAAAGTTCATTAACTTTCTGGGAAATGAAAACTTAGTACCTTTTTTTTTTAAATCTACAGTATGTTTAATCTCATTATGGCCTAAAGAGTTCATCGAAAAAGAAAGCATTGATTGGGTCCCCTCACCCCCAAAAAAGAGGCCCTGGAGATTTCTGTCAGGAGTTGCCAGATCTGGCCCACTGTTTGTTTTTGTGTGACCTGTGAGCCAAGAATGTTTCACACATTTTAAATGCTCGCAAACAACAAAAAGAAGAGGAATGTTTTGAGAAGCGACAATTGTATGAAAATCAGGTTCCGGGATCAGTGAATGAAGCGTCAGGACCCGGCCCCAGCCGTTTACTGGGTGTGTGGCTGCTTTCCCTGCGACAGCAGCCGAGCTGCGACGGAAGCTGTATGGTTCACAACACCTAAAAACTTTTTTAATTTTTATTTATTGATTTGAGAGAGAGAGAGAGAGAGAGAGAGAGAGACATGGATGTGTTGTCGCACTCACTGACGCCCTCGTCGGGTGATTCTTGTGTGCGCCCTGAACGGAGGTTGAGCCTGCACCCTTGGCGTGTCGTGTCGGGACAACACCCTAACCCGCTGAGCCAGGGCTGAGGTGCTTATTCACAGCCCTTCGCATTCAGTGACAAAACACGGTGAGAGCGTTGGGACTGCTCTCGTGCGTCCTGCAGGCCTGGCCCGCCTCTTTCCCCTGCGTGTTCTCATACAGCTAGAGCTTCTCACGGATGCGGCTGACCGCTTCACACACATCGCAGGCCAAGGTGCTGGCCACCCGCCTGATGCGCCAAGTGGGCAGCAGCATCTGATACCTCCCCCACCACCAGCAGACTGGAAGGGGTTCGCTGTGCTGAGCCCCCAGGCCAGCGAGCACCTGCGTGCAGGTCCTAAAACGGGAGGGGCTGCAGGTTTCACCAGGAAGGAGATGGGAGAAGAATGATGGGGAGTCCCTGTCATCTCCTAAAGTCACTGTGCATCGCACACAGCCTCAGATGAGATGGTGGCAGCTGCTGCAGGTACAAGGTGAAGGCCTATCCACCAAAGCCACTCTGGCTTCTTAGTCTGAGGCACCTGTTGACGGTATCTTTGATGATAATAATACTACTTTGTTTAAAAACAGAAGTCTGGTGTTATTGCTCTACCAGCCTAAACAAGAGAGTTAAACTGGTATTATCCCCCAAGCCCACCCCGTGCGCAACACCCCCTGTAAGTGCTGCCCTGGCCGTCTCCCTCTGCTCCAGCCCTGCTGGCTGGCTCACCCGCCTTCCCCTCACACATCTGTTCACGCGCCCCTTCTCGGGGAGATCGCCCTCCCCGGCCACTCGTGGGGCGGTAGAAATGTTCTGTGTCGAGAGTTCAGAGGTGGTTTCACAAGGGTAGACAAACCTGTGAAAATTCATTGAGTTGTACACCTCAAATAGGTGCAGTTTATATTATATGTAAATTAAATCTTGTTTTTAAAAATGGGCTGCAGAGAATGTAATAAAAATATGTATGGTCACAGTTTCACATGTTAGACTAAGATATATGCCCATTTGAAAAAAGAAAATAATAAACATTGATTTTCTGAGTAAGGAGTATTTTTATCAGTCAGCAGAATTTTAACTTAGTAATTCTTAAGAACATTGGGTTCTGTTTCTCAAAACTTGATTCTCAAGTTAATTTTAGCAGGCAGAACAATCTTTCAATCTCCCAATTGTTCATAATTTATTTTGCTTGCACTTCTTTGCCATGGAAGGCATTTTGATGTTTTAAACAGTTTTAGGGTCACTTTGTGATGTAAGAGTATTTACAGGAAAACGTGTAACCTCTGCAGCTGGTTTCGAGGTGGTTTTATGTGCTCAGGAGCTAACCCTGGAGACCATGTGTGTGGAGCCATGGAATGGTCCTGCTTGGCCGGCCCTGCGCCACCAGCATGCCGGGCTTTCTCACTCGTGGTCGGTGGCGCGCTGCGGTGGCGTGGCCTGAGCCGTGACCTCCGTGCTCAGCGGGCTCGTACAGGCCCGCCCAGTGCCCACTGCCGACGTGCAGTGTGTTGTCTCATTGCACCGACACCCCCTTACCGCCCAGTGCTGATGGCTTGTTTCTCCGCCCCAGGGGACCATCAGCGTTGGAATCGATGCCACAGACCTCTTTGATCGCTATGAGGAGGAGTACGAAGACGTGTCCGGAAGTGGCTTTCCGCAGATTGAAATTAACAAGATGCACATATCGCAGTCCATCGAGGTACCTACAGCCGTGCAGGTGCCCTAAGGGCGGCGGGCAGGGGAGCAAGGCACCGCGCCCCGCGCTGCTGGGACAGGGGCGTGTGCTCAGGGTCGTCCCCAGTGCAGTGAGCCACGGAGAAAAGAGTTCCCGCCACAGCCTGTCGGTTGCTGCCTCACCAAGATGCTAGCAGCCGAGGGCCGGGGCGGGGGGATTAGCTCCCGAAATCCGCATGTGGCAGTGCCGGGCCATTCTACTGAGCGTTACAGTGGGTCTCGGCCCTCCCCGCTACTCGCTTATTCTCCGGTGCAGCCACCCCGAGCCTGAAGTCCCAGCTCAGTCAGCGTGGGCGTGGGAAGGTCCCCAGTGAGGTCGCTGTGCAGGCTGACGCTGTTGGCACATTGAGAACCTCGGCCCTGTTTCCCCTGGTTTTTTTGAAATGTTCCCATTAAGTCCCTTAGAAACACGACCTTCGTGGCCACCTGCTGTTCAAATGGCGAAGCAGGGGAGAGGGGAAGCACTGAGGTAGCCACTTCCCAGCCCCCGTAACTGTGGAGTCGCCTGCACCCTGGGCCTTGCCCTTTCCGTTTGCTCGTTAGGCTGCCGTTCTTGGCACCCCCGTTGCTTTGACTCATCCGTCACCACCAAATGTCATTTCCTAGGCACCCTTGACAGCCACAGACACGGCCATCCTGTCGGGAAGCCTCTCGACCCAGAATGGGAACGGAGGGGGTTCCATCAACTTCGCCCTCAGACGAGTCACCTCCGCGAAGGGGTGGGGAGAGGTGAGAACACGGGCTGCCGCTGTGCTTCCCGTCACTGAGCCTTACGCCGGCGGCTGGCCCTCAGAATGCGAGCCGGGGCCCCGGTGTGTCAGATGCCCAGGCCGGCCCCCCGGGAGAAAAGGCCTCACACCCGAGAACTCCCCTCAGCCTGCCCGGCAGCTCGGAGTCCGGCTGGAGCAACAGAGCGTCCCTGCAGGTGCCACCTTCCGGAATCCTAACTAACCTCGGGAAGCTCAGCCACGACCTAGAAGGCCATCCGTTTCCCTACACAGTTCAGAAGGCAGGGCCTCGGCCGCAGTGCCCTGGTCCACCTAACAGCCGGCTCCGCCGAGCACATCCAGCCGCATCAAATTAACGTTGAGGCGTTGCCCTGAGAGTCACCCGGACTAGTCAGTGCGGGGGCCCGGGCTGGCGGGGCCCCCAGGGCTGAGTGCGGAGCTGTGATGGGTTTCACACTGGGCCCCAAGAGCCATCTCCAGTCTCCTCGGGGACTGCGGATGGTGAAGCATGAGGGCCCTGCGAGGGAGGGCGGGATCGGGGGGTTGTCCCCACACCTGGCTGCAAGCAGGCGCTCCGCAGACGCAGGGAGGGGTGCCGGGAGCTGGGCTCCCCGAGGGGCCTGAGCGGGCAGGTGAGGAGTGTCTCCTCGGAGGGAGGGGCCCCCAGGAGAGAGAGGCCCCTTGGGAGCTGCCTTCTCCGGGTCAGTGCACCCAGGCCCGCCTCCGGCAGGGGTGAAGACGAGCCAGCAGCTTCTGCCAGCCCCTGCCTCAGAGCCCTGGCGAAGGCCTGGGGCCCGGAAGCCAGTGAAGGGGTCCTGACCGCTGCTGACCTCAGACCAGGCTGCCTCTGCGAGATAACCCACCTTTAATGCTTTTCCTTTTCCTTTTTTGAACAGTTAGAGTTTGGAGCTGGGGACCTGCAGGGGCCTCTCTTTGGTCTAAAGCTGTTCCGTAATCTCACACCAAGATGGTAAATATAAAGAGATAAACCCTCTCTGGCGGTCTTTGTGGATTTAGGAGCCCGGAAGCTGTGCGTTCTCTTTGTCAGGGTCGTCTGGAGCTGCCCTGCTGCCACTCGGGGCCCCGCAGTGTCCCCAGGGCCTTGCCCAGTCACCTCGGCCTATGAGAAGCCCAGGGACTGGGGGGAGGCACCTTCAAAACAGGGGCTTTGCTCAGCATTCTGACACAGGCATGAGCCCGTGCACCATTTCTTTGTCCCTGAGAATGTGTGTAAAGCTCTGAAAAGGGACTCTGTGAGTAGTGGGCAGCTCGTGAGACCGCCTGGCCTCAGGGAGCAGCCGGGCCGGAGCGCTGATCCCCGCGGCAGAGATGTCCGGCTCCTGTCCCTTCTGGAGCAGCAGGGGTGGCCGTGCTCCCATGTGGGGGTGCCTGTGTGAGCTCAGATGCCTGGGAGGGGGTGGCTCACGCCCCGTTGGAGGTGTGTGCATGCCTGCCAAGGTCTGCAGATAAGACCAGTCCCTGCCCTTTGGTCTAGTAGTAAAAGCAAGTCCACAAGTCCCTCTGACACATGGAGGGTAAAGGAAGTGTTAGAGAGAGAACGTGTTGCCTGGAACAGGAGGAGACACAACTTGTAAAGATGAGCGTGGCCTGGGCAGAGAATGCGGGGGTGGGGGGGCGGGTGCACTCGGGGCTCCCGGTGTTGGGTAGAGCCCGACCTCTCCGCCCTGCCGGGGACATGGATCGGTGGTTCTGGGAAGGGGACAAGGACTCATGCTTGTTACCAGCACATCGGATGACCAGAATTCTCTGCATGTCGGCCTTGCCCTGACCGTGGCTGCTTAGGGTCGTCACCTCTGAGGCTGGCGAAGAGCACAGGCCCCTGCCCCACGCCCGGCGCGGGCCTCTGGGGAGGGCCCTGCGACTCCCTAGTTTGAGCGAGCCGAGCAGGTCGTTCCGAAGATTGGGCACGTGAGGAAACACGTCTTTGAGGAAAATCCATTGGCCATTTCGTTCTGGTTGAGCCTCAGAGTGTCTGTCCACAGAGTGGTCACCTGGGTCTAGGGCTGGCTGGTCATCAGCTTTTGCAGGTGTGGAACTTTCATCAGTGTCTCTGGTTTATCACAGGTGAACGAAGGTTTATAAACAAGGACGCCGGTTTATTCATTAATGTGCAGTGTCTGCTCTTAGGGTGCCCTAAATCCCAGGTCAGGTTCCTCACGAGTCCAAACGAGTGATCGGAGGGTTGGTGGATGTGGAGTCGGCCTGGTGAAAGGCAGAAGGTTCTGAGGCAGGTCCTCCGTCTCCCTGCGCAGGGCCTGGCTGGCCGGTCTCGCCCCAAAGGCTGCCTGCCTCTCCAGGACACACTGGACAGAAACACGCAGGGATCTTGCTCCTTATATACTGGTTAAGTGCCCCTGTGTCGCTCTGTCTTACAGTCCTAGGGGTGGCTTCTCTCTCCGGCGTGCTCCCCTGCCCCGGGAAAGCAGGAGACGTAGCCGACGAGCCGCGCCGCAGGCAGGGTTGGGGCCGCGGAGGGTGAGAGCCAGCACGTTCACGGGGGGAGCTGTTGGAGCCTGTGAGTCAGGGGCAGATGTGATCAGTGTCCCGTCTGGTACCATTTTAATGGCAAAGGCAACACCTCCAGAGCTTAGAAGGGGAAACTAAATGTGGGCCCGTCTCGTGCCTGCTGGGCTGTTGACTGAAGGCTCACGTTGCTCAGCTTTAACACCTTGAGTCAAATGGCGGGAGTTCCTTTGTGAGGGAATTGAAATGCCCCTTTTAACCAGAAGATGGGGCTGCCTCCCTGGAAACCAACTTCAGAGGCTGTTCCCAGGAATGGTTAGCTATGTGGCAGGAGGCGGCTTGAGGTCCTGGCCTGGACCCTGGTTTCACTGCTGGGTCACTGAGGCGTCATGGGAACGTCTCTCCTGTTGACATCAGTCAGTCTGTGGGAAAGTTGGTTTTGTCATATGTCGTGTGGCTTAAAGTGACAGGACCTATCGAGGACATGGAGGACTTCCTGTACCAGCTTTTTAAGTGGCTTCAGTCCGTGGGTGTCCATCAGAGTCACATGAGCAGCCTTTTCACGCCTGGGCTGCACCTGGGAGCTCGGGCCACACGGGTCTGGGCTGGGCTCCCGGGGGCAGTTCTCAAGCTCGGCCGCGCCTCTCCTCCCCTGGCAAGCTGTGAACGCCCGGCCCGAGTGCCACCCGCAGCGTTTTCCAGGACAGCAGGTGGCTCCAGTGTGTGTCCAATTTAGGGCACCTCCACCGCAGGTGGCTGTGATTTGCAGGAGCGTTGGCCCCCTGGCTGGGGAACACGGGCGTTCAGGTGCCTCCCGTGCCCCCGCTGAAGGGGGAATGGGTGGGGAGGGGAGTGCAGGCGAGCAGGGCGGTTCTGGGAATAATTCCACCGAGTCACGCTCATCGCCCTCTGGTGATAGAGGCTTGGTCTCCTGCTGTCCTTGCCAGGAGCTGGCCCGGGGGTGGGGGAAGGGCCGTGAGCCGGGCTTCAGCAGAGAGGACCGGCCCGGAACAGCTGAGAGCCGGGCGTCATCCAGAGCCCTTTCTGTCTGTGTCCCCCCAGCTTTGTGACGACCAACTGTGCTCTGCAGTTTTCGTCCCGCGGGATCCGGCCCGGACTCACCACTGTCCTGGCTCGGAACCTGGACAAGGACACCGTGGGCTACCTGCAGTGGCGCTGGGGCATCCAGTCGGCCATGAACACGAGCATCGTCCGGGACACCAAAACCAGCCACTTCACTGTGGCCCTGCAGGTGGGGCGCGCACCCCCCTCCGCGTGCAGCCTGCGCCTGCTCGCCCGGCCTGTGGGGCAGGTGCCGCTTGCTCACTCTGGTGTGCAGATGCCGCTGTTCTCAGGCTCCCCAGGTGGCAGTGTTCAGTCACCCTAAAGCCACGTGCCTTTTTCAGTCTTCTGGTGGGGGGAGCCCACAGAGTCGGGGGGAGGGGGAGCTGTGCGCTCAGCGCCCTCCGCCCAGCTGGGCACGGGGAGCTGCTGCCACGTAAGGGTGCTGGCTCGGTGGTGCGGGCTTTTTTTTATTGTTCATGAGAAGGCTCAAGATTGGGTTTTCGTGTGCAATCTCCCAGTGTGTGAATGTTGGCCACGGATAGGTTTGCACACACTCTGCGGGCTGCCAGATTGTGACCCTGCCCTAGAGGCTGCTGCCGTGTGTGCTCCCTGCCGGTCGCAGCGGGGCAGTGAGGGGCGGGGCCTCCGCCTCCAGCCACGGTTCCTTGCCCTGTCTTCTCAGCTGGGAATCCCTCACTCCTTCGCACTGATCAGCTACCAGTACAAGTTCCAGGATGATGACCAGACCCGCTTGAAAGGGTCCCTTAAGTAAGTCCTGGCTGGGCTGACCAGGGAGAGCTGACGGGGGGCTTCTGGTGGTGGAGCCAGTTGGTGGATAATGCCCGCCCATGTCCATCTGCCGTGCGTGACGCCTCAAGCGCCTCCTACTGAAGGGCAGCGGGGGTCACTGCTGTGCGGTCCCAGGGGTTGAGGGACTGGAGGTTGAGTGGATGAAGTGGGCCATTGGGGTCCTGGCTTTGTTCTGTTCACGGGCTCACAGTGGCCGTCGCAGCTGCTCCCAGCGGGTAGTGGGGAGGGCCGGGCGGAAGGCGGTGGGGGACCCGCTCTGTCCTGAGTGCCCACGCCCACACCCTGGGTGCCGAGGGCCCCGCTTGCTCACTGGCACCCGCTCCTGCAGGGCAGGCTTCTTCGGGACAGTGGTGGAGTATGGGGCCGAGAGGCGGATCTCCAGGCACAGCGTTCTCGGGGCAGCAGTCAGCATCGGGGTTCCCCAGGGCGTTTCTCTCAAAGTCAAGTAAGTTGAACTCAGAGACCTGTGGCCACAGGTTTCCTGGCTTCTTGTGCCCCCTGGGCTTCCCTGGCATTAGGGACTAGGCGGGTCTCACTCTGATGTTCTCAGACGGGTGTTGAAACAAGTGTCAGGGAGCCACTGGCCCCTCTGCTGTCAGTGAGGTCTGCGTCCACGTCCGGAGGCCTTCCACCCGGCATGTGTCCCCTACTGCCCTCTGCCGCCCCTGGTGGTCCGGCCCCGGCCCAGGCCTGGCTCCGTGTGCCCGCTCACCGACGCGGCTCACCGCACTGCATGCACACCCAGCGGCCTCAGCAGCACAGGCCGGGCCAGGTCACCCTCTGCCCCGGGTCAGCCCGGCACTGTGGGACCAGTCCTTGCCGGTCCAGGCTACTCTCCAGGGGTCGCACCGAGCCTCAGCCACGTGGCTTTAGGTGCCTTCCTGCACTGGTAACTCATTTGTAGCCCCAGTTGGCCCTCTCCTGCCTGACCTCCAGCTCAGATGTCCGACTTCCTCCCCTCCTGTGGACACACCTTGCACAGCACACTGTGCCTCAGGCCTGCCTCTTGGTGAGGAAGGCCCTGCCTCACCAGTGCTCTGCCCGAGCCCTTGGCGTTAGCCCCTGGCCACCCCATGCCCCTGCCAGGCCAGCCTCCACGCTGCCTCTGGAGCCCACAGCGGCTCTGGAATCCGAGCCTGCTGTTCTCAGTCCCCAGGTAACCACACAGTCGGTCTCTTTGATCCTCTCTGGTCTCTGCTCAGATGCCGCCTAACCGCAGAGACCATCCCTCACCTTGCCACAGGCAGTCCCTGTCCTGGTCCCCTGTGCACTCACCTCTGCCTTGCCCCTGGGTCTAGAGCGCAGCCTGGCACTGGTGGCTGTGCCGAGGACCCGGGAGGGGAAGCAGAGCAGGCCTCCGCTCTGGAAGTGAGGGTCAGGGCAGGCGCCGGGGTCCATAAGATTGGAGAGCAGAGTGCGCTCCTACTTCCACTCTTAGCTTGTCGGGCACAGTCACTGGGACCTGCTGTCCACTCCCGTGGCCAGCGCCTGCAGACCTATAGCCACACGTGTGGTCACCTCCTTCCTTGCTGGCCAGGCTGTGTCCAGATCAGCGGTGCCTGCTGGGAGCTCCGCCACGGTGACAGGCGCCGGGCGGCAAGACTGCTGGGGGTGGAGGGCGGTGGCTCCTTCACCTCCGCCCTCAGTGAGGCAGGTGCTGGCAAGCACATGCCCAGGCAGCGTCGGCAGACCCGGACCCCAGTCACGGATGAAGGTCACGCTGGTCCCGGCCACCAGCCCTTCCACCCTGAGCAGCTGGTCACAGGCAGGGAGATGCTGCCAAGGGCTGTGTTTGCAGGCTCCCTGCCGTCGGCGCAGAGACCATTCTGGGGACAGGAATGCCATTCAGGTCGTGCCACGTGACATCCATCCAAGAGAAGTGTTTAAAACACTGAGTCGCATGGTGCGGTGCCTCATTAGTGGCCCCAGTTTTGGGGGGTGGGGGGGATTAGAACGCAGAAAGTCTGGCAGCTCTCTCTGCCTTTTATTAAACCTCAGCTGTTCTCAGATCGGAGACAGACAGGATCGCAGGGAGAGGGGAAGATGGCAGGCTACCCAGAAAGCTGTAGCGCCTGTCCGCTGTCGAACCTGCAACTCTGAGTGTGATGTCCTCACACGCTTCCTGCGACCAGGTCGGCCGAGGACTGAGGTGTGACTCTGTCTGCCGGACCCCTGGAGGGGGGTCCCCTCCTGTCTGCGAGGGCCGCACTGGCTCTGGCCGAGCACTAGTCTGTTGCTTTGCCCTTGAGGTCAGCAGGTACTGGGGCCTGTCTCCTGTCACGCACATCAAACGCAGCAGCTAAACTTGGGAACTTGAGTAGCACAGGCTATGGGCAGGCCGGTGCCAGGGCCCCTCTGGGCTGGCGTCGCATGTGCCCGAGAGGCCCTTCCTGGGCGGAGACCCGTCCCCCCTCCCTGGAAACCTGCCTCATCTTGGATGCTTTTTGTCGTGTTATTTTCAGGTTAAACAGAGCCAGTCAGACGTACTTCTTCCCTATTCACCTGACAGACCAGCTACTCCCCAGCGCCGTGTTCTATGCCACCGTGGGGCCCCTCGTGGTCTACTTCGCCATGCACCGTCTTGTCATCAAGCCATACCTCAGGGCTCAGAAGGAGAAGTGAGTTCAAGACGCGTCATGGGACGTCACTGAGCACTCCTGTGCCTCAGTGTCCTGTCTTTCGCAAGGAGAGAGCAGACCCCGCCCCGAGGGATTGCTGGGGAAGTTAGATTAACTAACGCACGTACCGTGCTAGCAAGGGGTCTGGGCCCCGATGCGCTCGCGGCGAACGTCGGCCGTTACAGTGGAGGTGCTGCGCTTGCCTCCGATTGTCATCCGCTCCCGCTGTCGGGAAGGATGAGGTCGGTTTACAGGACCGTTGAGACTTTAAACCGGGACCACAACAGATAAGAAGTTCGTTCTGTTTTGTTTTGTTATTTTCCTCATACTAACCATTTATTTTCCTGGCACTGCGTTTAGGAGAAATGGGTTCTGTGTTCCTGTGTCAGGGCATGCGTTAACTATGTCTTAGACGTCATAGAAATGTAATTCCTTCGTAGTTTTTGCAGGTGATCCATCACAGCATAATGATCGAATTTCATAAATCACGGAGTTTAGACAGCCATTTTCACCCATTGTGCCACGAGGATTTTTAAAACATGCAACACTGACTATTTAGTCAGGGGCACTGACCTCTTCTCCCTTAAATTGTCAAATAAAGCCAAACAATGATAGCAGCCAGCACAAAAATGGCCGCCCAGTGTGAATGAATCAAAATTATACCTATTTTCTTTGTTCGATTGGCAAAAAAAAATTTTTTTTTTTTTTGGTGTGCCACAGAACGTTAGTAATTATGTGTGTGCCATGAGGTGAAAAAAAGGTTGGACATCGTGAGTGTAGAGAATCTGAGAGAAGGAAGGAATCTCCTCTTTGGGGCCCCTCCGGCCTTTGAATCCGTAGAGCTCAGGGTTCCAATTGCCCAGGAGTCGTGAGGCTTGAGGCTTGAAACAAAAGATGTGCTATGTCAAGTCTTCCCCTGGCCGGCGCGTGCTGCCCAGGGTCCCCTGTGCTTTGCTGAGGGGAAAGTATATTTATGTACCTCCAGTCTCAACGGCGTGGCCTTCCCGGGAGAGTTCCGTAATAACCCAGGAGGCGGCTGGCGGCTCCGGGAGCCTCACCTCCCCCTCTGACCTCCCACCTCCCTGGGCGTCCCGTCAGCGGGGACTTCTCTCCCAAGGGACCGGCAGTGGCTTACCGTCCGCTATGCCAAGGACTCTAGGGACAAAGGGAAAGCTGCATAGGCCTGTGACAAACATATTTGCTTGAGAGTATCTGGGAAATATTTATTAAAGGTTTAGAACTAGGAATGCAGTCGGATCCACAGACTGACTGCTGGGCGCAGGTCCGAGGAGTGGGGAGGCCGTGCTAACATGCAGCTGTGTTTCCAACATAAGGGAACTGGAAAAGCAAAGGGAAAACACAGCCACCGACATCCTGCAGAAGAAGCAGGAGGCAGAAGCTGCGGTGAGTGCTGCGTCAGGCCGCCTGGCCATCCCCTTGCTCTGCGTGGCTCTCCGAGCGCCGAGCGCACGCTGCTCCCCTTCCCTCCGGGACGCGCGTCCCACTGCAAGCCCCGGTCTCGCTCAGGCGTCCTGCCCAGCAGCGGCACTGGTCACCGGGGCCTTTCCGTTGCCATTGGCTATACCGGGAACAGCAGTCCCGGTGCTGGAGCCTCCGTGAGCCTCACAAGGCTTAGCAGGGCTGCTTCGAAACTGGCGCGGCCCTGGGACACGCTGCTCAGCGGGTTGGGCATCGTCCTGCGACCCGAGCGTTGGGGTTTGGTACCCGTCAGGGCGCGCGAAGGCAGCCTCTCAGTGTTTCCCATCGATGCTTCTCTCCCTCTTTCCTCCTCCCTTTCCTCTCTCTAGAAAAAAAGCAGTGGGTATTGTCCTCTTTTCCTCTCCCTTACGTGAGTTGTTTTTACGTGACCTAAGGGAGAGACGCAGGATGAGTGGCAGGCACGGCTGGGTCCTGAGTGGAGGGAGGGCTGCGGGGACCCAGGCGCGGCGGGGGCTCCGCACAGCGAGGCAGAGCCCAGCGAGGGCCCTGATGGCCGCTGGCCTCATTCTCCGCAGGTTCGGCTGATGCAGGAATCTGTCCGCAGGATCATTGAATCAGAAGAATCCAGAATGGGTGAGAAGGCGCGGCCTCTCCTGGGGTGGGGTGGGCGTGGGGGTCTCCGCAGAGCACACCGTCCTGCAGCCCCATGGCAGGGCCGGGGGAAGAGGGTGCCGGCCGAGGCCCGCCCCGCTGACGGAGCCGTCCCCAGGCCTCATCATCGTCAACGCCTGGTACGGGAAGTTTGTCAACGACAAGAGCAAGAAGAGTGAGAAGGTGAAGGTGATCGACGTGACGGTGCCCCTGCAGTGCCTGGTGAAGGACTCGAAGCTCATCCTCACGGAGGCCTCCAAGGTACAGTGCCCTGTCCCCATGGGGTCGGACGGACGAGGCTCCTGGGCTCAGCGGGCCCCTCGGAAAGGCTGTGTCCTCGCAGCGAAGTCCCCCGCGTCGCCAGCATTTGCCGTGCAGTATGCTGCCCAGCACCCTGGCCATGTCCACACGGGAGCAATTGACTTCATGTGTCATCTGCTCAGTCACTTAACAAGTATTTATGAAGCACCTACTATGAGCCAGGCACAGCAGAAAACACACACACACCCTGCCTCCATGGAGCACACCTGCTGCTTGTTTCTCGCCTTGTGCCAGGTGTGCGTGGTGGCCTGGCGCCGCTGAGGCTCGCGCTGGAGCCTGGGGCGTGGGTGACAAAATCAGACCAAAGTGCAGATTTGCTCAGGGCCACAGCCCCTAGCTCCGCGAGAAGCCTCCCAGCATCTCCGTCCTGGCGGGGCTGCTGTGAGATGGAGGTGCATTTAGAAGGGGGAGAGGGAAGTCTAGGACTAAATAGGCCACTTGTTCGCATTCTCGTTTCTTTCTCCTCAAGTGGCGAAGTGTGGCCTCCTCAAAGGCCCTGCAGAGGGCGCCGCACCAGCGTGTGGCAGCCGACAGTGGTCGGAAAACGGCCGCCCGGAGCCCTCTTTCGAATCGGACTCTGTGTTGCAGGCTGGGCTGCCTGGGTTCTACGACCCCTGTGTGGGTGAAGAGAAGAGCCTGAAGGTGCTCTACCAGTTCCGGGGCGTCCTGCACCAGGTGATGGCGCAGGACAGCGAGGCGCTCAGGATACCAAAGCAGTGTGAGTAGCTGCCTCTGCAGTCTCCTGCCTGGTGCAGGGCCAGGGACACGGGTGTGGGGACAGCCACCTTCCGCCTGTTACCCGCTGGGAGCAGTCGTGTTTGAGACTCACGCAGAGCCCATGGCATGCTGCCCTGGGGTGTCGGCCTTTCCCCGGTGGCATCACAGTGGGCTCTCGGCTTGGAACGCAGCTCGGGTGGCCGGGCACGAAGCCAACTCCACTGCTCCGAAACACTCCAGAGCCCCCCGTTGGCCAGGCAGCTTCTGGTCCCCTAACGGCTGACCCCACCGAGCCTCTTTTCTTTTACAGCTCACAGGATTGATACAGATGGATAAACTGCTTAAGAAACCAGATTAAAAGAGGCTGCAAAAAATCTTTTCCTGGGAGTCTACAAATTTGGAAGCAGGGAAAAAACCCAGATATAAGATATGTTTATTTTATATTATTCCTATAGAAGGTGGTACCGTATCAATTATGTGAAGGGACAGAAACGGCCGGCTTCCCTGGGTGCTGTAGGCCGGACTGAGGCAGCCCCACCAGGACCACAACCGCAGCACAGCGTGTCTTTGTTCCCAAGGATCATGTCCCCGAGGGAAGGGCCCGGGCCCCGGCCGCCTCGGGGTCCCTCCTCGGGGTCTTCAGCACTTCCGACCGCAGTCACCCCGCAGCCCTCGGCCTGTCCTGAGGCCGCTGCGCAACATCCCGCCCTCACACATAGGACCGGGAACTGCTGCTCCTGAAACCTACACTGAACACAGAAATGGAAGAACAGCGGTCTCCGGCCCAGTGAGCATGTGTGGCCAACCTCCCGAAAGCCACCTTTTCCCGCTGAAACATGGAGAGGAGTGTGGGTTTATAAATCTGCTTTTTATCTGAGAACAAATGATTTTGGAAATTAGTCCTTTTTTCCCCCTCCCAGAACTTCTCAAATCATTCCACTGGCACCTGGCTTGGGACAGGAGTGTAACTGTGGTTCCCAGGGCCATCCCTGTCATGGGTCACCTGCCTCCCAGGGCGTCCCTCTCACCACAGCCCACACGGCTCGGCCTGACCTGCCGGTGCCGCCCACCACAGTGCAGGGCTGGGCTGCAGGGGGTCGGGAGGAGGGGAAGCACGGGCAGGGCCGCGCGGCGCCAGCCTCACACTGCCAAGCGCCTGTGCTAGCACTGCCGGGGTCCGGTGCCGCGCTCGCTCGCGGCCAGCAGGTGGCACTGCGGCTCCCCGCACCTGGCCGGGCCCAGCTCCTTCCTCACCGGGGACTAAGACCGCCCTTCACTGGCGTCTGGGGGACGCAGGATGCTTTGGGAGCCGGGACACTCCCGATCAGCGGCGGCTGCCGGCTGCGACGCGCAGAGACCTGGCCGGCTTCGCCCTGACGCTGGTGCCAGTGGAATCACCGATAACCCCCTTCCTCCAGTCTTTAAAAGCAGTTCCGGTCATCCAGTCCTGTCCTATTTATCTCCGGTGTAAAATGTCCTCTGAGCTGCGGCCCTGCACGCACACCGTGCAGTAGGCACGGCGTTTACTGAGTCTGACTGCGGGCAGCCCTGCCCCCTCCCCGGTCCTCCCCTCGCCTCAAATGGGCGCCGGTTCTCTATTCCGCCTGAAATGGACTGTACAGGAGGCCGTCTTTCCACAATAAACCTTTCCTGAAAGCCGGGGACGGTGTTGCAGTGCGTCTGTCCATTTTTAGGAGCAAAGTGAGGCAAGTGCCCCACCCAAGGCCAGGTCGGCCCCTTACCGTCGCTGTTAAACTACAGGAAACCTCGAGGTTTCATGGGAAGCTGTCGCTCCGGAGGGTGCCTGAGGGAGAGCCCCCAGTCAGGACAGCACTTAGGCTAGGCCTCTTTTTTACCTGAAGTCGGCTTTTCTTTGTAGTCGCAGGTGGTCATACCCTCGAATTAGTGCTCAAAATAAAGGAGGGACGGCTGCAGGGCAGGAAGACACTTTATTGCGCAGCTGCATCAAACCAGGCCAGGAAGGGGCCCTCCTAGAACACAGGCCTGTCGCGGCCAGAGCGCCTGCTGTCCAGGCAATGGAGGTGCCACTGCTGCTGCCCAGGAGTCAGCGGTCACCCCCTCTGCTGTGGGTGGCAGTGACCCACCCACCAAGCCCCTCCCAGGACCCAGCGGCCCCACCGGGGGAGTGTCCGCCGCTCTGGCTCGGCCCTCTGAGGCTCCCAGGATGCTGGCTGGTGCTGAGTGGACAGCTGGGGCTGTCTCCTCCTGGATGACCGAGTCTCACATTTGTGGCCCCAGCCCTTCACGGCCTGATGCCACGAAGCTTATCCTGAAGCCACAGAGGCCTCTGTGCCAGGGTCCCGGCCTGGTGTGCCTCTCCGCCACTGTCGGCCGCAGGATGGAAGGGCTCGTGGCCACAGCCCCAGAGCTGCCACCCCATCTCCAGGGCCACGGACGAGAAGGCCCAGCAACCTGGCTCAGCTCTGCTGCTCTGGCCGTGGTGAGGCCCGGGGGCCCGCACGCCCCGCCCGGAGGGCTCGCAGGCGGCTGCACATCCTCCGCATCACCAGCCGCTGGGCCTTCAAGCGCTTCCGCAGCTTTTCATTTTCCTTCAGCGCCACAAAGAGTTTCTTTTTCAAGGTATCTAAGTCCAAAAGGGCGTAGCTGTGGTCAGATGGCTGTGGGGGTCCGGCCTGCTGCAGGGGGGCCTCGGCCACTTCTGGCCTTGGAGGCGGGACCTGAGGAAGGGGAAGGAAGGTAGCAGTGCCGAGACCAAAGCTCTTCTGCAGGAAGGACAGGTGGCAGGGCCCTGGGGTCCCTTCTCACAGCTCACATGACCCATGTCTGCCCAAATGGTGGCTCTTGCTGTTATTGGAAAGACCTGAAATTGGGGCCACACCCTGAGGTGCTCAGCATTTGGGGACCGGTTTTCCTTATTTTGTTTGAAGCAAATCCCCACCTGCTAAGACCGTCCTGCCACATGCCAGCTGGGTGCTGGGCTTACCTGTCCCACAGGGGCTCCAGCGCTGAGGGGCGGCTGCAGTGCTTCGAGGGCAGGGTCCGTCCTCCTCTCTGGGCTGTGCTCCCTGGCCCCCGCCCCAGGGGGCGCCTGGACACGCAGGGCAGGGCTGCAGTGCGGACTGACCGCAGCGCGGACTGACCCCGAGCGCGGACTGGCCCCCAGGGACTGACCCCCAGCGTGGACTGACCCTGAGCGCGGACTGGCCCCAGCGACTGACCGCAGCGCAGACTCACCTTCTCCTTCTCAGAGTCGGCATCTCCACCCTCGCCGGCCGTGCCTGTGTCCTCCCTCGCCAGCTGCAAGAAATGCGGAGCCCCTATGGACGCCCGGCCCGAGGTGCGGCCCCGCTGGGGTGCAAGTGAGAGGCTGCGCCCCAAGCACTTTGCGCCAGGCGCCGGGCCTCCCGCTCATCCCCGTGCTCAGCCCCAGGGGCATCCGGCGAAACCGGGCCTTGAAGCCCAGCCCAGCTCAACCTCCGCCCACTGCTCTCTCTTCCCCAAAGATGTCCCCCAGTCTTTGGCCGTAATTTGTGTCGCCCCAGGTCCTGGTATCCTCCTAGACAAATAGTGGTGCCTCACGTTTTGCTCAAACAGCGGCAGCCACGTGGTGGAAAACGCCCGACTCAGCCTGCAGTCGCCAGGCGCCCACAAGCAGGCCAGGGGCCGTGGGCCGGAGCCAGCCCCCAGCACTAAGCAGCAGACCACAGGTGTCTCCCTGCCACCAGGAGTCATCTGTAATCTTACTTCCGGAACAAACACCACCACAAAGCATCAAAGTGACCAAACTGTTAATAGACATGCCCTGCAGGGGTTGGGATGAAGTCCCTACCAGTGGGCAGGCAGTTTCAAGTAAGCAAAACGGTGACCCCTGAGAGCCCCATGGTACATCACGCCTACAGCTCACAGCACCATATCATCCGTTTAAAGCTTGAAGGTAGCCGGCTGGTGTGGCTCACTGGATTGAGCGCCAGCCTGCAAACCACAGGGGTCACCAGTTCAGTTCCCAGGCAGGACCCATACCTGGGTTGCAGGCCAGGTCCCCAGTAAGGGACACACAAGAGGCAAACACACTGATGTTTCTCTTTCTCCCTCCCTTTCCCCTCTAAAAATAAAATCTTAAAAAAAAAAAAAAAAAGTTTGAAGATAGGTTTCATGTTAGTGTTTTACCCACAATAAAATTTTAAGTATATATAAAATAAAAATAAACAGCCTTCCATATTGCAAAAAGCAGCGCAGCAAACACGTGCCGTGCGGAGCCGCGTTCTGCGTGCTGGGACTGCGGCAGTGGAAGGGGCCCCTGCCTTCGCCGTCGCTGACGGGGAGGCCAAGAGCAGGAGCCACACCGTACGGCAGGTGCAGCAGGTGCTAGAAAGCCCAGCGGGCAGGAGAGGGAGGAACGGGCCCTCCTGCAGAATCATGAACGTGAACGTGGCCTTGGAAGGAAGAGCAGCCGCCTGCGTGCGGACCTCGGGGAGAGGTTGTCAGGCGGAGGAGCGATGGCAAGCAGAGGCCGCGCGGGTTTGCTCACAGCTGGCGCCTGTTCGCCCACAGCCTGCGACTCCTGGGCCTACTGGGCCCTCTTCTCTCATTCCCAATAAAATCAAACTCGCAACAGCTGCCCATCTGCCTCCTGTTTGTCCCACCATTTCTTTGCCTTCCAGGTTCAAGCGGGTGCCCCCAGGGGACCACATGCCGGGACTCTGTTCGCCTCTAGAATTTAGGGAATTCGATACAACCTCCCTCACGGCTTCAGCGCCCAGCAGTCCGTGAACTCCCCGCTGAGCCAGCCTGCACACCCCGCCCCGCCGACGCACGTCCACTCCACGCCCAGCCCATCGGAAAGTCAGGTTCAATGCGCACAGGGCCAAGCGCCTGGTAATCGGGGAGCCCTGTCCCCCAGGGGCTTGCAAGCTCCCTCCCCGGCCTCCTCTGCTGCAGCCGCCACCCCTGTAAAGTCCCGCGCGGTCCTCTCATTGCCACCCCACCTGCAGCCCAGGGCGCCACAGCTGCACTTGCCTGTGGCACGGCAGGGCCTCAGAACAGCTTCCCACCAGACGGAGGCTTCCGGAGCCACGTCCCTCCCCACTGAGCTCACCTGGAAACAGCTGCCACTCCAAGCCAGCCACTGTCTGCAACCCTCCAAGCAGCCTGAGCCCATGCTGCTCCTGGCCGCACCCAAAGCCCTTCCCCTGCCGGCTGGCCACGCTGTCCCCAACCTCCCGCCAGCGCTCCACCCGCATCGTCCCTCCGGGCCCTGGACAGCTCTTGGCCAGCGCGTGTGGCACACAGCAGGACCTTAACAGAGGCATGCTGAATCTGGCAGTGGCCCAGCCTCTGGCTTTTGATCACAGGTGTCGGAGCCCCGGCTGACCACCCAGAGGAGGACGAGGTCTGAGCGCAGTTCGGCAGCCGCCTCCCGCTGGGAAGCCATCACTGCGGGGCCTGGAGCCCGCCTGAGACCCGGCAAAAGTGAGCCGCAGGAAGGACCGGCTCCAGCCACACTCGCCAGGCGCTGCTTCAACAGCAGCCGGCTGTGAAGTGTGACTCACTTGAAATTGGCTTTATGTTGAAGAGCCCCTGAAACGAAGGTCATGGCCAGCAGGGTCGGCCGGTCTCCGACTGGGGCTGGACAGCACTGCCCTCACCTCAGCCTCGGTCTCCGCCTGTGCAGCCCCTGCCAGCGCCACCCCTGCCCCGCCTGCTGGGAGGATCCAAGCCTCAGGCTCAGCAGAGAAAAGACAGAAGTGCGTTCACCTGCGGGGCATCCTGGAAGGCGAACACCGTGGGCACAGCATTGTGCTTCAGGTTCTTGCGGTTTCCAAAGGCACTGAAGCACTCGGGGCGGAAGTGCTCTGAGCAGATGACCGTGTGCTGCTTGGGCTCAAAGTTGCCGCGACCAATGTTCAGCACCCATTCCTTCAGGAGCTCCGGCCGGCTGAACGGGAACCTGAGGGCGAAGAGGGCGAAGAGGCTGGATTTAGCACTTCGGAGCTTCCGGGCATTTCACACCGTCACACGGTATCCTGGACAGCTTGGAAAACCCAGGAACCTCTCTCTGTTAAACCACATCCAATTTCTGGAAGGCATGACATCCTTGGTAGGAAACGAGACCACGAACGTGGCCAAAGAGCTGTTTCCAAAGCCACATGTACCAGGTAAGCCTTCACCCATCCCCTCGGGAGCCAGCCAAGTGCAGGGCCTGCTCAGGGCGCTGGGGCTGGGAGTAAGACAGCCCCGCCCTTGTGAAGGCCACGTTCTAGACCAGGCAGGCCAATGGCAAGCCAGACAGATGAAGACTGCGTAGGAATGAAGAGTAGGATGTGGTCAGGGAAGGCCACCTGAGAGGTGTCATTGAGTGAGAGCGTGAGCCTGCAGGTATCAGAAGAGCAGCCCTGGCTGGGTATCTCAGTCAGTTAAAGTGTCATCCCAATACGCCAAGGTTGCAAGTTCGATCCCAGTCAGGGCACCTACAGGAATCCATCAGTGAATGCGTGGATGGATGGACAACAAATTGATGTTTGTCTCTCTCCCTCTCCCTCCCCACTTTTCTCCCTCTCTAAAAAAAAATCAATAAATTTTTTAAAAAATCGAACCGCTAAGGTTAAAAAAAGAAGGGAGATTTAGTGACAGGCATGTGCCTGACATGTTCGAGAAGCAGTCAAGGCAGGTTTGGCTGAGACAGAGCAAGAGGAGGAGTGGGGACCCAAGGACAGAGTCTCAGGCAGATGGCGGGGTCCCTGGGGGCTCTGGCCAGGGGGGTGGGAGGGAACGACTGAGCCCGCCCTGGCTGCTGCAGGGAGGTCCTGGGTGGCTGGGGTGTCGTCAGAAGGAGGTAAGGAGCAGGCAGATCTGGGATGTATTTCAGAAGCTGTGCAATAAGGTTTGCCTGTGGGCCATGAAATAGAGGAGTGTCCCGTATTAAGGTGGGACGAGGTGGGGGGAGGGGCAGGTCTGGGACCTGGGAACTTTGGTTTTACGTGTCAGATGTTAAATATGAGGCGCCGTTTAGACATCCAAGTGCTGAAGCGGATGGCAGGTGGACACACATGTCTGGAGAGAGCCATGCTGTGGGGTGGGGGGGGGCTCTCCCCCCATGAAGGGCGGTCAAGTCCTGGGTGCAGTCGGTGTCTTGGGAAGCAGGTGTGGGCAGGGGTGATGCACGCCACGGCCCCCGCCCCAACGTGCTCCAACGTCGAGTGCTGGAGACGAGGAGGAGCCACCAAAGGAGACTGAGAAGGGATACTTTGACCAAGGAAGAGACTGGGAGGTGTCCTAGAAGCCAAGCGAGTGTCTCAAAGGGTCAATGTCAGCTGTGTCAAATGCAGCAGAGAGATCACTTCAGTTGACAATGGGACCCTGCATTTGGCATCATAAGGGCCACCATGGACTTGGCAGAGATCGTTTGTGGAAGTGGTGAGGGCAAGTTTGATTGCATTGAGCTTGAGCATGAACTGAAGGCAACTCCACCCCCCAGGTATTTACTTGGCTGAAACATACAGATGGATACATGCACCAGAAGACTTAAGGCCAGCAAAAATGTTGAGCCATGTGCTTGTTATGGCCAAAACACTGAGGCACCCAAATGCCCTTCAAATCTATAGCAACAAACTAATTCTGGTTTGTGCGTTCAATAGAATACTATGCAGCAATGAAAAGGAATGAACTGCCACTGAGTGAAACAGAGACTCACAATTGTGGACAAAAACAAAGGGGGTTCTGTGGAAAGCGGCCCCCCAGGGTGATCTGATCATAAATTCCTAACTGGGCATGTCACACTGGGTAGTCACGCCCCAGGTCTCTAACTTCTTGAGTCAAAGGTCTGTCTTTGTCTTGTCCATTGTCTTACGTGTCTATGTTAACTATCCCATAACCTGATCCCTGCCTTGCTGTCTCCCAACCTCACATCATCTTTGCGTTCCCACCTTAATTTCACATGCAAAAGAGAAACCTGGAAACCTATCAAATTCTCTACAGGTTTGGAGGTTTCTTTTGACAACACAAACGATAATGGTGAGAAAAAACAAACAAAAAAGCACACCAAGTGCGTCCATTCCTGTAAAGTCCAACACAGGCCAGCGCAATCCCTGGTGAAAGGCAGGGCGGGTATGGGTTACCCCGGCGTTCATGGGGAACAAGGGACAGAACGGGGTGCCGTTGGGGGTCTCCTGGGGGCTGGTGATGGGCTACTTCTCCGCAGTCACTCAGGGTGTTCGTTCACTTTGTTAAGTGGGTTGAGCTGTGTACTTGTGATTTGTGCACTTTTCTGTATGTTATATTTCAAGAAAACCGTTTACTCTGAAATAGAAAATGTTAATAGGAGAAGTGGAAACGAGTGCGGCAGCCGTTTGGAGCCCAGCTCTAAAGGGACAGAAACGGACACCTGAGGACGGGCTCTCCAGCAGGGACCTACCCGTTCCTGGGCTAGGCCCCGCCCAGGGCTGTGCCAAACTCCCCCACCCGCTTCCGCCAAGTCAGCGTCCGACTCCCCCCAGCAACACCAACGACACCGGGACGTTCTCATTCCCGCCCTCCAGCCTTCCTTCTTCCGGATCACGGCCCGCAATGGCTCCGCATCGGCTCCGCATCGGCCCCGCGCCCCGCAAACCAAAGCGGCACCAGCCTCGTTCATTGAGCGAAGGCCCTCGGCGCACCGTGAACGCCGACTACGTTCCGGGCCGCGGCTGTGAGCGACATCAAGTCCCCGGGGCAGGGAGAGGACGACCGCCCAAATGACTGCAGAGGGGCCGCGCAGACACCACCTGGGAAGAAGCCCTGAGCTCGCATCAGGCCCGTCCCCGGCCGTCCCCGACAGGCTGGCACGAGGCGGAGCAGGTGCCCGGGCCGCATGCCCTCCGGCCTCTGCGGCGGCGGCAGCGGGGCCGCGACCCTGGCGTCCCGTGTCCACCGGCGCGCCAGGCCTCAAGCTCAGCGGGGGCCGCGGCCGGCGGGCCCGGGCGAGGCGGCCCGGCTGCCAGGCCTCCACACCCCCGGCGCCCCCGCCCCTCACCGGTGGAAGGTGAGCTGCTTCCTGCGGTTGCTGTAGCGGTTGCAGCACTGCCGGGCCGCGCATGACTTCGGCATCTCCAGACCCCAGGCCCGGCTGCCCCTAACAAAGATGGCGGCGGCGGGGCCTTCGGGCGCCTCGAGGCCAGAGGCAGGATGGGTACCAGGCTGGTGGGCGGGGGCCTAGCCGGTGGGCGGGGCCTAGCCGGTGGGCAAGGCCTGCAAGAGGGGAGGGGCCTTTGGGAGGCGCTGGAATGCCAGGGCTCCTCGGTCAGCTCCCGCGCTGCGCCCTCCACCCGTGTCGCCCCCAGTCGGCACCCGGAGTCGGAGGGGCTCTGGGGTTTTCCATCCCAGTTCGCTGAAGCCCGGCGTCCTCACTTCCTTTTGGGGCCCCCCAAACTTACACCCACAAATAGCCTTGGACAACTGGAGAGCAGAGAAAGGCCCAGTGCCCAACTTGGCCAGTATTTTAAGTCCTAGGAGGTGCGGAGACGTGGAAACCTAGGCGGCCCCAGATCAGGTGGAGGCAGACGCAGATGGCAGGACAGCCTCTGACACTGCGGACGCCAGGTGTGAGGGGCTGCATGTGCACCCCGGGAGACCCCCCACCCCCCACCCCCCGCCGGCAGAGCCTCGGAGGCTAAAGCTCTCACAGGGCAGGGTAACCACTCACTGGGGTGTAAGCTCGGCTTGATGAAGAAATTGCGAGAGCTGTTCCTGTCTATTCATTACTGTGGTTTGTTCCGGGAGAATTTACTAGAAAAGTAGATTAAGGGCTGTGGGCATTTTTCATCCTGCTAAGCCAAACTCGGACTTGGACTGCCCAAAGTCGTTTTGTAATCATGGTTTGGGGAGGTGGTGAAGGGAGAAGAAACCCAACTGTCCTTGGGTACAGAACATGAACACCAGAAGCTGGACATGAACCTCAAAGTAGCAATATCTTTATTTACAAAATATACAGTTTCACAGAAACAGCTTCGTTTTTACACATAAACTTTGTAATTACACAGAACCACGTAAACGATGTTAAGTGTCTGGCCTGGCCAAAGCCAATGAGAGGGGCTGGCTTTTGGGGTGGCATCTTTCCCTCCCCTCACTGCATCAGCCACCAACCAGGAGCCCCTAGATAGGCCATGCCTCTTTGCATAAAGCTGACTGCTGCTGCCAGCTCAATCAACACAAAACCGGGGTGTCTTGACTTCTTAGACACCACCCACAGGGATACACCTGTTAAAAGAACAAAAAGGAAATGAAGAAACAAATTGAGATGACTATCAAAGCCTTCCAGAAGTCACCAGGCATTGAGCCTTCTAAGAGCAAGTAGTAATCGCCAAGAGTTGGCCGTTCCACCATAAAATCACACATACTCTTAAATGCACTTTTAAAACCGGAGTTAAAAAAAAAAAAAAAAAACCCACAAGAAAAACACTTTGGAACTTTGGCTATTCTCATGGTGAAGACACTGGACAGGCGATGATGTCCTGGGGCAGATCTTTGGCAAATTCCTCTCCCAGCTTCTGCATGGTCGCCCTAGTCAGAGCCTCAGACAGCTGTCTGAGGACAAGCTTGTTTCTGATCCAGCTTCTTACTATTCCTTTCTACAGTACTTCTCCTTTGGGGATCTTTACAATAAACTGGGTTTCAGAAACTATGTCTATTTTTGTGTTAATAAAAGCAACAGAATTTAAAAAAAAAAAAAAAAGGGCAGACGGCTGGTCAGGCGTAAATGATACTAGGACAAAATACGGGCTCCCGTTAGCCAGCCACAGCTCAGTCCCCAGCGCTTCGATGGGAGGTGGGGGCCCACCCGCTAGCCCGCCCAGGGCGCCCCAGGAGAGGCCCGGCAGGGGCTGGGCTCCGTCTGGCTGCAAACACACACGGCCACAACTTGAGCATTCTTCCCTTTTCATGCTTTTACAAGAAACAATGTTTATGAAAACACACCCATCAACTTACAAAAAAAAAATTTTTTGAGAACACGTATTTGAACTGCTAAAACACTATGTCCGTCCGGGACAAAGCTGGAGCCCTCCCCTCGGAGCCCCAGAACTGCCAGCGTCCCAGGGCTCAGTGGCGAGCAGAGCCCCGCAGGCCCTCGGGGTCTCCTCAGTCCAGGTGTGAGCAACTCTGCAGTGGGTGGACCTGGATGCCCATGTCACCCTATCAACTCACACGCCAACTCACACCAAAAAGGCTTCAAGTCCTAACCTTGGCCTGTGGAACCAGCAGGCCAACCTGTACCAGGGGACACTAGGAATCACCCCGGGCCGGGAGGGGAGGCCCACCTCCCCTTTTCCTTCATCCTCAGACACAGGAACGCCATTCCCTAGTGAGGCCTAACCTTTATGCTGCTACTGGAGTAAGGGGAGGGGAAGCGAGGAGGAGGGACCCTAAGTGTCCTTGCTTGAAAACACCTTGCCTAGGCACCCAGAGGCTCCCATTGGCCAATGGAAAGGGTGCCCAGGAAAAATCTGCCAATACTTTTGGCTGTATCGTGCAAAAAGACAGGTTTTTTACATCGTGCAAAACAGGAAACCGAGTTATCAACACAGGCCACCTTGATCCCCCAACCAACCTTCTTTCTACAGAGCGGTGGCCACACACTACCCTTTATAACTAACAGAAGGAAACCTAGGGGTCACTAGCTCACTCACGCCCCTGCTCCTCTCAGGGGGTGACAAGGAGCCCAGCAGGCAGCCCCGGAACAGAGGCGGCACGAGGGGCCGGGAGAGCGGGCCGCTGAGGGAGGGGCAGCTCCCATGGCTGCTGTACAGACATCTATGGTAAAAGACTTACACTGGAGAAAAACTTTGCACGTATGGCTGTTCATTACCAGGCTGGGGAAACACTTGTTCCCCAGCACAGCGGAAGCAGGAATAACAGTTAGCACTTGTTCCAGTCGGCGGGAGTTTGTTAATGACAGCAAGAACTCAAAACTACCGCGGACCCTTATTTTCAGCTGAACCAAACCCACTGTGCTGGGGTGTCCAGCCCACCGCCAGCGCAGAGAACACAGCTCCAGCAGCAGCTGTGGCCTACGAGGACTTTATTCAGTCACCGGCTATGTACAGTTTATACCTTGGACAGCCTGTCCTTTTGCTTAGGCACCTGAATGGCAGGGGTCTGCCTGCACCAGAGCTGAGAGTTCTGTGCTCAACTAAGAAAGGGGCCACAAAGCCCACCGTCCCTTCCGACTCTTCACCCACAGTCTCCTCCCTCGCCAGCAGTCAGTCCAGAAACAGCTTCCGGGAGCCCATTCGGGAACGGTTGGAACGGCGGATGTCGAACTTGGAGTCCCGGCACTTTTGGCAGACAAACACTTCCGGAACATTGGATTTCCGGATTTTGGCACAGGACAGGTGAATCCAAGTATGGCACTCGTTACACTCTATCATCGGGCGGCCGGCGAATGGCTTCATGCAGAAGCAGGTGACGAGGTCCCACGAGTCATCGTCTGAAAGGAGAGAAACAAGTAAGGGGAAGGGAAAGCCACCTCACAACCCCTCTGCGACAGGAGCCCCACTCCATCAGCAAAGCGCTCTCCTGTGGGACAGAGCAGCTGATCCTCAGTAACTGAACTGGGTTTCAACTTTCCCTTAAGGGAGCTACTTCGCTCCCTGAAAACAGTACGTGCTCAGCAAAGGACACGGAAATGTGTGGCCCCAGAGCTCGCCGTGGTACGTGTACTTAGGAGCTACGTCATTTGACACCCCAAGGTCTGTCTGGGAAGCTCAGCTGTCTCTCACTGCAGTCGCCCCCTTCCCGAAACGTGGCAGTGCCCACCCTCCTGTGCCTCTCTCCCTAGAGGCGGTGGGCACACTCTGAGGAAGGGACCACCCTGAGACCCCTGCTTACCATCTCTCCCCTCCAGCCCACTCACCAGAATCCACCATTATGTCCTCGTCATTGCCGGTGCTGTCCTCGTCGCGGAACACCACCTGCTTTCCCTGCCGGACGATAGTCCGTTTGCCTTCAGTTTTTATTTCTTTGACCTGATCGGGTGACACGGCGGCACAAGACCCACTGGAAGGAGTATCGGAATCCCAGCCCGAGCAGGGATCGCTGGGGGCCTGGGGAATATCCTGCAGGGCGGGACTCGTGGGGGTCTCCACGTATGGATCGGTGGCTTCCAGCTTCAGCAAGCTGCCCATGTACCCCTCCTTCACGGGCACGTCGCTGTCCCTTCGCTTCCTCTTCTTCTTTTTCTTCAGCTTGTCGGTCTTCTTTCTGTCCAGCAAGAAGTTACTGGGCTTGGCTCGCTGCAGGAGGGTGGGCTGCAGGTGGCCAAAGCAGCGGTCTGAGACGGGCAAGGGCACCGTGGACGAGATGTCGGCGAAACCAGCATCCCAGCCATCGCTGTCAATGGTGCCTGCGGTGCTGTTGGCAGGGCTGGGGCTGCTCCTCAAAGGGAGCTCCTGAAAGGACAGAGGCAAAGGTGGCAGGTTCCAATTATCTCGAACAGCCCCCAGCAACAAGCTCTGACCTCGGGCAGAGAGAGCTTCCCCAGCCGGGTCAGGCCTGGACATGCGCGCTCACTACCCAACCTCCCGGGTCCCATCAGCATCACCCTTTAGGGACAGTGGCACGTGTACTTCAGTGCAACCTTCTAGACAGAACATGAACCCATGAGAGGGGACCTCCTGCCCTGGCTGAACCCTCTGGAACTCGCCTGACGCTCGGTCCATCTCTGCGAAAGGAGTGAAGATGCACTCTCCCACCCACTTATCTTCCGACTATAACATCTCCCTCCGTTTGTCTTCCCACGGGACGGATTTTTTAATTAAGTGAATTTAAATTAGCTTTGAGAATTTCCCAATACTTTTTTAAAAACTGGAGCTATCCCAAAACATTGCAAAAATCAAAGTAGGTAATCATCGCCCGGAAGCAGTGAGCGAGCTACACTCTGGCTCTTTCAGACCGTCAGAGCATTTTATTGACAAACAGCGACAACAGCCTGCGCGGCACAAGGCACGCATGAGCAGCCTGGCCGCAGTGCAAAGGCTGGGCCAGTGCTGGGGCGGGGCCCCCGGAAACGGCAGGTCCTCTCTTTTTAGCCTCAGTCAGTGCAGATGAGGCCTCTGAAGCTTGAGGGCCGTGGCGGAGCTGGTCTACAGTTCCGCCCATCTGTTAGCAGGGGCGAAACCCCGGCAGCGCAGTGCGATTCTGGCCACGGTCCCTGCAGACCCGGTTAGCGCGCTGCGCACAGGAGCCAGGAGGTCGCCCACCAGACAAGTGGCCGTCTGGCTGAACCCAGGCTCCACCCCTCATTAGCCTGTGACCCAGGGCAAGGAGTTCCCTATCTGTGCCCCTGTCCTCTGCAATGGGGACAAACAGTATCACCGACCTCATCTCATTAAAAGGCTAAAAACAGTGCCTGGCCAGTCAGCCCTCAATGCTCACTGGCCACTAAGAGCAGGTAGCACAGGGAATAGAATCACTAATGTCCTGGGAACTCTGCATGGCATGGCAGGGACCGTAAATACCCCGCGGCGGGCGGGGGGGGGGGGGAACGGCATGCTTTATAAATAGCATAGGATCGTCTAACCATTATGCTGCACACTAAAACTAACACAAAATAATACTGAATGTAAACTGAAATTGAAAAAGAGAAATTGTTAAAGAGCAGGTGGATAGCAGAGAGTTATTTTCAAGCAAACTTTGAAAGTTCACTAAGTCATTTCTAGACAAGCTTTCGTTTTATTTTCTACTAGAATTTGAGGAACCATTTGGTCTTTCTTGGTCTAACTTTCCAAGAAAGATTTTTGCCCGACTATAGTCTGAAGTCCTCCCGCGCAACCCCTTTCATTCTGACACCCTGCCGGACGCTCTGGTTTCCCTGACAGCAAGAAAGGGCTCAAAAGTGCTTAAGATTCATTACCTCCTTCGGATAAGGGATGTAGCCAGCATAGGCCAAAACAAAGGTGCAGAATTTGTTGAAATCCTCCACGGTCCTGCGCCTCTTGTAACCGGGGGAGTACTCCTGTCAGCAGACAAGAAAGGGGTGTGTTTGAAAGTAGACTGCAGGTGGAACCACATAAACAAAACCAAACAAGCTGGAGGTTATATTACCCGACAGCCACTCAAAAACACGCTGCGAAATTTACACACACTTAGAAACAAGATAAGGTAAGCTCAGGTCAAGAAATAACACTGTGTTCAGAAGGCTGAAAATGGGGGTGTCTGATGTTATGCCAAGAATACTGGGAAACTGGTTAGGAGATAAAGCCTGTGCAGGAGCCTACTTCTCAGCACTCACCGGCATCTGCTGGCATATCTATTTGCCTCTACAGGCCTATCAGTTCTAATAACTACTTTTTTTGCTACAGATTTTTCATTTTGAAAATAAAGTGCTACTGCAGCTGTAACTAAACCACTTAGTGATTTCAAAAGTCAAAGGCTGCTTATCCTTTCCAGCTCGCTCAGGCCTGACCCCTCCCCAGCCAGGCTGCCTGGGACTGCCCCCTGGCCCCCCTCCGGGTCTCCAGGGAGGAGGCGCTTCCTGCTGGTCCTTCTACCCCCCACGACATGCAGGGGCGCTAGGCACCCAGATGTTTCTCAACTCAGAGGATAAACCAGAAACATTCCTGCGAGCCTTATTTGCACGTTGAAGATAAAATACTAGAGACTCTGACTTGCGAGTTGCATCCCAATTCAACCTAGAAATGCCCGCAACAAAAATGGACTTTCTCCTGAAAAGAACAGCTCAAGGAGAAAGAGCCTGTATTTGTACTTTATTTTGGTTTATCCGATTAGCATATATACTGAGGTTTTACTTGAGCATCTCATCACCGACCCCAACCCCATCCTTAGGTGCTGAGCTGACACAGAGCCTAGGGGCCCACTGCCCTGCTATGGTGAAGGGGGGCGAATTGGGGCAAACGCCGGAGCCCACCCCACCCCAAGACAGGGCCGAGAAAGCGGCGCTGCCCAAGCGCGTTGCCTGCAAGCTGCCTTCCAAGGGCGCCACTTTGTATTTTTTCAACTTGGCTCCAGAGAACCACCTTCTCCCCCCCACCTCTGGGCCGCCGGACCCCGAGAGGCGCGCAGGTTAGCGGAGCACAGGCTCCGCGCGAGATCCGGAGCAGGAAGCCCGGAGATCTTGCCTCCCGCCTCCCACTCCCCCACCCCCCACCCCCGCCCCGGGAGCCACTGGCTGCCCTCCCTCCGGCCAGGGTGGGAGGGCCGCAGCCCTCGGCCTTCAAACTCTCGGGAAGAACTTCTGTTTCGGCGGGGAACGTGCCGAAGTGGGTCAGGGGCCGGGACGCCCAGTGGCAGGCGGCGGCGCCCTCCGGCGCGGGGCGGGGGACCTGCGCCGCCCCCACCCCGCCCGCCCCGCCCGCCCCTCCGACGTTAGGAAAAGCAGATGGCGGTGCGGCCCCCTCCCACCCTCCCGCGGAAGCCGCCCCCCGCCGACACTCGGCCCCGGAAGGTGCGGGGCCCATCCCGCTGGGGAGGGGGCGCGAGAACCCGGCAGGATCGGGGTCCGGGGCTGCTAGGGCCCGAGAACCCCTGAGGCGTCAGCTTGGCGGGAGATACCAGTCGCCGCCTCCCGCGGCCCGACCCGCACCCCGAGGGCCTCGGGAGGAGAGAGGGGACCGCGTCAGGGGCGCCAACCGGGAGAACCGAGGGCCGATCCCCGGAAGGAGGAATGGGAGGCGGGGCGAGCAAAGCCCGCGGGCGGGGGGCGGGGGCCCCGGAGGGGGATGCGAGCGCTCGGGGCCGCGGGGGGGGAGACTCGGCTCTTGTCCCTGCTGGGGTGAGAACCCCAAAAGACGAGGATCCCCCGAGCCGGAGGGGGCGGGGGCCGCGCGGGAGTCAGGGGGCGGGGCGCGGGCCACTGGGCCCGGGGATTAGGGAAGCAGGCGGGGGGCACCGAGCCGAGTCCACGTCCGAGGGGGGCCGCGAGCCCCTCCAGGAGGGGGCGGGGGTTCCTCCGAGAAGCGAGAGCGCGGGGCGGCGGCCCTCGGACCGAGTCCCCGGGGGCGGGGAAGGGGTGAGCGAGGCAGGCGGGGCGGAGCCGGGAGCGCGGACAGGTCCCGAGGCTACCGAGGCCCGGGAGGGGTCGGCGCTTACGCCCGTGGTAGAGACGCCGAAGCAGGGGCCGGCAGGGAGGACCGGGCGCGGGCCCCAGTGGGGGGCGGGGTTGGGCACGGGGGGGGGGGCGACGACGAAAGGCTGGGGGAGGGGAGGGCGGCGCTCGGGTAGCGGGGGTCCGGCACCACGGAACGAAGGAGCGGGGTGGGGGTGGTCGGTGGCGATCCGAGAGCAGCTCTCACCTCAGGGTGGAAGGCGGCGGCGCAGGAGTCGGAGTCCATGTTCGGGGTTGGGGGCGGCGGCTGCGGGAGTGCAGGGGCCGGAATGCGGGCACCGGACCGTGGGGTCTCTCGGGGTTGGGGGCTCCGGCGGCCGCGTAGGACCGGGGCGGACCGGGGAGGGGTCGCCCCGGCTAGAGGTGATGGGGGGCTCGGCGTGTCGCGTCCCGAACTCTGTGCTCCCGGACCAGCGACTCCGCGGCCGAGCAGAGTTAGCGATGCAGCTCCCGCGGCGGGAGAGGCGGGAGAGTCACTGCGGGGGGCGGTGGCGGCGGCGGCGGCGGCGAGCGGGAACCCGACCGGCTCCCCGACCTGACGCCCAGTTCGGCTCGTGTCTCAGGAGGGAGGGCGGGAGATCCGCGAGGCCTGTCGGGAAATGTAGTCTGAGGGGGACGGAAAGCCGAGAGGGAGGGGGCGTGGCGCGGGGGCGGGCCCTGGGCACTATGGGAGTTGTAGTTCTACGCTGCGCCGCCGAGACACACAAAGGCCGTCTCGAGGACTCCAACCCCCATAGAGCGCCGCGGCGGCTGCGGAGGCGGTGTCTCGGGACTGGAGACCGCTGGAGCGGGGGCTGTGCGGGGCTCGCGCCGGCTATGCGGTGGGGGAGGGGCGGTGCGAGCGGTAGCCCCTCGGTCCCTACGGGGGCGGGGTGGGCCTGGGTCCCGCGGGCGTGGGTGGGGGCGGGGCTGACGGCCTTGGTCGCAGAGCGCGGTGGCGGTCAGCGCTTCTTTATCCTAGCGGACTGAGGGTTCGTTTCCTTTTGTGGGGTCGGGGTCCCCTCAAAATACTGGCGCTGACGTCGGGGCCACCCCCGGGCTCGGCTTCCGGCGCGAGGAGCGAACTTGCCTTCGCGGCTGTGGGTTTTCTGGACGGGTCGTCCTTGCCCGGGGGACCCGAGACCGGGGACCGAGACCCGGTTTCTGCACTCTGAGGTTGTCGCATCTGAGTATCTCTCCCAGCGTTATCAAGGTTTTTAGAAGGTGTTTGCTTAAATTCGCTTTTCTTTCCCTCTTCGCCTAACCTTGGGACAGCCCCTGTTTTCTCACTTTAATTGAGTTATTTCCTGAGTGTGTTCCCCACAGGATTTTTTAACAGTGAGGCCAGAGAGTGATCGAGGTATTGGGAATTGCCATTGATTTTGTGTATTGATATTTAATTGAGGAGTTTGCAGTGTTTTAAGTGCTGCTCTGCAGCGTATTTTACAATTTTATGTTGAAGGTGGATTGATTGTGAACACCTAGTTGAAAATTAACCGCTTTGGTCGAACCATCAAGAGGAGGCCTGACATTCTTTAACACTTTGGAAAGAAAAACCTACATGCAAAAACTGCAGATGACAAAATAGCATATTCTCTGTACTCCGAAGACAAAAACTGTTGAAGAGGAATAACATAACATTTTGAATTTAAATGAGAAAACAAACTCTTCGGTACACCGAATCGAAGCGTGCTGAGAACCCCTGAAAGATAAGATTGCGTCTGGGCGGGGCGGTGGGGGGTGCTGCCCTGGTTAGCCACTGCTCCTCCGGCGGCTCAGCGACTGGGTTTCTCTTGCAAAGACAAGGTTGGGCAGAAGTGATGCCTCTTCGGTAGATTGGTGGTTGGCAGGCTGATACTACGGGTGTAATAACTTATCATTTTAATTTCAACATTTCACCCACAATGTCCAATGGTGTGCTTGAGCATGATACTGTTCTGTTACAGATTTACATGCTTATGATTCGGTAATAAAAGATTTTGTAATTAAAAAAGGGGCATCCTGGGAGCTGGACCCCTGCACTTTTCTGAGCCGCAGTGTCCTGAGCTGCAAAGAGCTGTCGCGCCGGATGGGCCTCAATAAATGGTAGCTTACTGCTGTTATTTTTTAATGTCACTTCAGCAATATCTTCGCGGACTGGAAGACTCCCCAGATGTGATAACAGACTGAGGTGCTTTCGGGAGCCAGGAAGGTAAAAATAGACATTGGACCCGGTCTGTGGAAACATCATTAGCAACTTCTTAGAGTTGTCGTACTCTGGTGATTTAGCCAAATTTGAATGTTCTCTGGCCCCTGCGGCCTGGGCAGGTGCCGTCAGTGCAGCCAGTGTTGCCCAGGGCCAGGGCCAGGAGGGGTGACTTGGTCTCCCTGAGTGAGAAAGGCACCAGAAGAATGTTATCCTGTTGGTAGTTTAAAAGTATAAATATCAAAGAAAATTATCAGAGGTGGAATCCGAAGGAAAATGAAATTTTTTAACTGATCATCATTATTCCCTATGGTATGATTTTTCACAATATACACACTAACACCCACCCGCCCTTAAGAAACCAAAGTACTGGCCCCAGCCTGGTAGCTCAGTTGGTTAGAGTGTTGCCCCTACACGCCCAGGTTGAGGGTTCGATCCCTGGTCAGAGCACATACAAGGATCAACCAATGAATGCATAAATAAGTGGAATGACAAACACCTCTCCCCATCCCCATCACGCTGTCTCTAAAATCAATGTTACAAAATTACAAAAAAAAAAAAAATCCTGAAATAATGAACTTGTTCGTAATAATAATAGAGCAGATGATAGGCATAACAGCCTAGAAGTCAGGATCCCAAACTCGGATTGTGTCCAAGGGACCCCTCTTGCTCCGTAGGTATCCGGTAGATTTCCCTTTATTTACTGATTTGAGAGAGCAACACTCATCCTTTGCCCCGCTTGTCGATGCACTCACTGGTTGATCCCTGTACGTGCCCGACCGGAGCTGGAACCCGCAACCCTGGCACATCCGGACAACACTCCAACCGCCTGAGCCACCCGCCAGGGCTAATAGGTATTTTTGAAGTTCTTAGTAAACTGTGGCTCGTAGTGCCCAGATGCGACCAGGACTACCTGCCTGGCACTCTAGAGCAGGGGTTCTCAGCCTTTTTCATCGACTGACTTACGCATTCATTGGTTGGTCCTTGTATGTGCTCTGACCCGGGATCGGACCCTCAACCTGGGCGTGTAGGGGCAACCTTTTTCATCTCACACAAACTAAGCACTAAAACTCTGTGGCACACCAAACCAAAATTTTTTTCCGATCTGCAAAAAGAAAAAAAGTATAACTTTGGTTCATTCACACTGGGCAGCTATGGCTGTTCTGGCTGCTGTCATTTTTTTATTCAACAATCTAAGGGAAAACAGGTCAGTGCCCCGGCTAAATAGTCAGGTGTCACATGTTTTAAAAATTCTTGCTGCGTATCACCTGGAAATCGCTGCTCTAGTGAAATAGAAAACTTCACGGAAAAGGACCTTCTTTATCTCTCCTTCCTTTGATTTCCCTTAGAAATTTCGCCCTTTGGAGGAAGTGTAGAATTAATACTTAACCATCCATTCCCTAGACTCAGAAAAGGACTATCACACCAGTGCTTGACTCAGACTCAATCGCAATGTGTAGCTGCGGGGTAACGAAGCTGGTTTCCTCGTAGGATAGGCTTAGGTGTCTTCCATACGCTGTTTCTTTCGCAGGTGTGCTGCCGTGCTCTGGGCTCCGGAGAGCACATTTAGAACTTCATGATTAATGCAAGACATTACCCACAGCAGCCAGGTTACTGGAATTTATGATTTCTTGTTTTCTGCTCTAAAAAATAAATTATACCTGCTGCTGAATGCTAATTCTCAGATGATTTATAATGATTACAGTTACTTAGGAAAGAGGAAGAAAAAAAGCCAACATTAGCACAGGTTGTGACAAGTTTAAAAATACTAAGAATACCATGGTTTCCCAGTAAGTAACTTGAGAATGTAGTTATTTTAATTGGGTTACCAAATATAGCTTCACCTTCCTCAATCTCACTGGCGTCGCTGCATTCGTGGGGGAACATTCAGGAAGGTTTTTGCCTCCCACTTTAATTCTGTGCTTGAGTGTGGGTGCGAACATAAGCAAGAGTTTATTTTTTTTCCGAAATGACTTCCTAGTGTTTCAACCTTTTGTTCAGTACATTTGTACGGGTTTTTCCTACCCTTAGTTTTCTGTCCTTCTCGCTCCCATTTTAGTCAGAAGGGGAAAAAAATGAAAACTCAAAATATAATTTCAACTTTTAGTACCTTGACTACTGTATTATATGTGTGGGTAATTTATTAATAAATAATTTCTAAATGACGTACTTCCAACATTGCCTGTAGTGAGGAAAGTAACCTGTGCCTAGAAGAATGGAATGTGTTCCCTGTGTCATGGTTCCCACAGGAAAACCGTAAGGATTCATAGCAACACCTTGCGCCAAACACTTTAAATACTGCTCCTTACTCTACCTCATTTACATACAGCATTCTCTCTCCACCAGTGCATTATAATAACATTCCTTAAAGAAAAAAGCTTATACACAATAGGTGCATTACAATTCACACCTTAGGCAGCCCAGAATTAGAAAAATCGTGTCTAACAGGAAAAAAAGGCACAATCTCTTTTTGACTAAATGCTAAAGTATGTGGTCCCAAGTGTTCTCAAAGGGAAAGAAAAAAAAAGATAGCAGCTTTTAAAATTACTTCAGTCACCTCTTGTCTTATCTGCCTAACAGCATTTAAATATCAAAATCAAGGTTTGAATTTTTTAAATAGTACCATTTCTTTGTTAAATTACACCATCATAAGGAAGTCACGCAGATACGATTTTCATCATTTTAGAAAAGATTTTAAAACTTAAATGGCTGAAATGTAACCTTTAAATACATTTTCCCACCAACTACTGTTTGTGTCCATTATTTTTCAATAAAACTGCAAAAAACAAAACTATTGCTTGTTTGGCGAGAGTTTACATCTTCCTCACCAAAAACTAGTGTTTCCTGCAGGCCAGAGTGCTGGGTGGTATCCGAGAAGTTTAAGGCCAGGTAATTAATACAGTTTTGTACCTGTGACACTGTCCTCATGCAGTGAATGGATTTCTCACATTCCCATTTTGAACTCAGGAGCCTGATAAAAAAAAAAAAAAACCCTCAATAGCATGCTGGGGCTCGGAGGTTATTCACAGTTCCAAACAGCTGACAGATCTAAATCTGTTCTTTCTTTTCTAACCACGCTCATTTTTTGACTTAAACACACATGGTTTCAAATGCTTGCCTCTTAGGTCCCAGATAGTAATAATGGGGTTTTTTTCCCCAATAACTGAATTTTTAAATTTTATTTTGAACTTGTATTATTTGCTTAAAACACAGTCCATATGTGTTAGTACATTCAGAGAAAATGCAGGCGAGCAGAAGCAAGCCTGAACACCACGAGGAAATGTTACCGCCACAATTTTCCTGTACGCACATGAACACATTCATTGGGTCATATTATGCGTGATGAGAGTTTTCACTCGATACCACAGCATGAACATCTTTCCATTTCTATAATAATCTACATTATTCTTCATGGCCTCCCAGGAAGATTCAAACATGATTTGCTGAAATAAGCCCTCGTTAGGAATACACAAAACTGGAATTAGTTCTTAACCATCGAAACAGTGTTGACTTCCGGAAGACTTCCGAATGTAAGGGGTGAGTTCTGATGCGAGGGACTAGCACTTTTCCCTGCAAACATCCCACTTCCTGGCTGCTCAGACTTTTCTTGTCACAAAGCCTGTGCAACTGAGCTATTGGCTAGGCTCCTGGGCCCAGGAATGCTGCCGCCGCTGCAAAGAGCTGTGTGAACAGTCCATCTATGGGCAACAGGCAGCCCGCCTGGTACCTGACTGGTTTCTTTCTCAGGCCTGTGCTCCCCACGCCGAAATTCAGACCAGATACACTCTCATGGCAGGCGGGCTGATGGGAGATGCAGGAGAGGAGAAAGCCTCCAGTTCTCATCTCAGATATGCAATGAAAACAAGATGTCTCCTGCAAAGGCCGCGCCGGCTCGGCTGGAGCTGGCTCCCCAGTGCGGACCTAGGCTGGGCACTCCGGGCCCCGAGGGTTCATCAGGAACGCCTGCCGAGCCCACGGGGCGTGGGGGTGGGAAGCTCTTAAACAGCAACAAAAACAAAAGAGGATTTCATCTGCAAAGCAAGAGGGCTGGAGCCTAAATAGGGGTCTTTTCTAAAACTCAACAAAGCTAAAATTAAAGGGGAAAAAATGGCTTCCAAGTGAGGGTGTTTTTTCATATGCTTATGTTGAAAATGCAGTCCTGCCTGGTATTGTGTCCTTTGGAGCCAAAATAAGACAGAGTCCTTTCTTAAACAGATTTCTCTTTCTGGCACCCCACAAGAGACTGGGACACTTCTGAACGGCCACATTCTCTGGTTTTTAAAGCAGTTCCTTGTCTGACCTTGAGCTGAATGTCCCTGGGACCCTAGCGTCCCCTCTAAGAATACGGAAAACTGCTCCCCCCTCCACCCGCCCCCGGAATTGTTTCCTGGTGCTTAGCTTTCTGTCCAGCTTAAGAGTATATTCTTAGGAATTCCTCCTACCCTCCGTTTTCTGTCTTTCCCACGTCCATCGCCAGGACAGAAGGCAGAGAGGCTCTGGTGACCAGTGTGACCGAACCCAGAGCAGGCCTGCCCGCTTTGGAGGGCAGCTCGGGAGCCTGAAAGAGTCTATGCATCGGAAACTGAAACTGCGCCTTGGATACTGACGGAAGTTAAAGACCGAGTTAGTCAAGTTTGAAACGCCTGCAGGAACACAGAGGAGCGGATTCCTGGCCCCTGGCCCCTATCGCTTATAAACGAGCCAAGAAAAAAAAAAGTCACCTAAAAACCTTGTACGTGCTCATACATTGGTCCTGAATTGTAAAGATCCTGTTGTTTGAAAATTTGCCAGTGTTACGGTTAATTAGCAACCCTTATCAAAATCTTAAAAAATCAAAATTAAAATACAAAAGCCAATGTACCGAGCAGCCCCCGAGGCTGGTGGGGGGCGGAGGGACGTACGCAGTTAGGAAATCTGGCGCGAAAGGGGTGACTACGGTTGCGGGCGCCGCGCTCGCCCCCACCGCGTTTTGTTCAGGAGCTGGGCCCGGGTGGCTGGCGGGCAGGCCCCGAAGGTCTCCGATCCAGGCGCGCGGTAGGGCCGCCCCTCCAGAGAACACTTGTCACCCGGCGTCCCAGCCCGGGAATCTGCGGGAGGCCGCAGGAAGCCCCGGAAGGACGGCGAGAAGGAGCGGGCGCGGGCGGCAGTGACTCAGCCGGGAGCACGGGGGTGGACGCACGATGGGAGACGGACTGGCGCGCTCCACCGGGAGGCGGCGCCGGGCCTGGAGGGGTTAAGTGGGCGGTACCGGCGGCGCCCCGCCCTCCCGGCCTCCGAGAGGCCGCAGCGCTTGGCCGTATTTATAGCGGCTGCTCCGGGCGCGCCGCGTCTCTCCCGCTGGCCCCGGCCGCGGCCTCACTCGGTCGTACATTTCCCTACCCCGCGCTCCGCAGCGAAGGCGCCATGGAGCGACCGGCGCCCCTGGCTGTGCTGCCCTTCTCAGACCCTGCGCACGCGCTGAGCTTGCTGCGCGGCCTGAGCCAGCTCCGCGCCGAGCGCAAGTTCCTGGACGTGACCCTGGAGGCGGCGGGCGGGCGCGACTTCCCGGCGCACCGAGCTGTGCTGGCGGCCGCCAGCCCCTACTTCCGCGCCATGTTCGCCGGGCAGCTGCGCGAGAGCCGCGCCGAGCGGGTGCGCCTGCATGGCGTGCCGCCAGACATGCTGCAGCTACTGCTGGACTTCAGCTACACTGGCCGCGTGGCCGTGAGCGGCGACAACGCCGAGCCGCTTCTGCGCGCCGCCGACCTGCTACAGTTCCCGGCGGTGAAGGAGGCGTGCGGCGCCTTTCTGCAGCAGCAGCTAGACCTGGCCAACTGCCTGGACATGCAGGACTTCGCCGAGGCCTTCAGCTGCGCGGGGCTGGCGAACGCGGCGCAGCGCTTCATTCTGCGCCACGTGGGCGAGTTGGGCGCCGAGCAGCTGGAGCGGCTGCCGCTGGCGCGCCTGCTGCGCTACCTGCGCGACGACGGGTTGTGCGTGCCCAAGGAGGAGGCCGCTTACCAGCTGGCGCTGCGCTGGGTGCGCGCCGACCCGCCGCGCCGCGCAGTACACTGGCCGCAGCTGCTCGAGGCCGTGCGTCTCCCCTTCGTGCGCCGCTTCTATCTGCTGGCGCACGTCGAGGCTGAGCCGCTGGTGGCGCGCTGCCCTCCCTGTCTGCGCCTCTTGCGCGAGGCGCGCGACTTTCAGGCGGCGCGCTACGACCGCCACGACCGCGGGCCCTGCCCCCGCATGCGCCCACGCCCTTCCACCGGCCTCGCTGAGATCCTCGTTCTCGTGGGAGGCTGCGACCAGGACTGCGACGAGTTGGTCACCGTCGACTGCTACAACCCACAGACGGGCCAGTGGCGGTACCTGGCCGAGTTCCCTGACCACCTGGGCGGAGGCTACAGCATCGTAGCGCTTGGCAACGACATCTACGTGACGGGTGAGTGGACTGGTCGGGAGGACCCTAGGCCGGCCGACCGCACCCCCACTCCCAGGGAGGGGTCTCTGGGGTTGGCTTCCTGCGCCCCTGACGGAGGGAGCATGTCTCCCTTACCAAGAAACCCACAGAACCTGGAGTCCGGGACCGCACCTGAGTACAAACGGTCACTTCCCCTCAAGCTGGTTAGTGGGTACGGTTCTATAGAGTCGATACTTTGGACCTAGAAGAAGAGCCTCTGGTGTGAGTGGGGACAAACAGCTGCCTGTGGGTTTCTTTCCCGCGCTGCGGGGCATACCTGGGTAGCCCACTCTTCAGGGAGGCGCCACTCCCCCCCGCCCTTTGGTTGGAAGATCCTGGGGCATTCACCCTGCACAATGGGTGCTTTCTTTTTATGCGTGTGGGATCCAGCGACATGCTTGGGGCTTGCGCCCTGTGATACATCCGTTCTCCCTTCCCAGGGATTTCTCCCAGCTGAGCCACTCGAGTCTCCAGATGCTCACATTTTGTCACCGGTGACCAGGTTCCCTTGGGTTTGCACTTGGGAAGTGAGCTGTGAGTCACATGGTGTTTAGGCTGCTCCTTGCCCGGCGACTGTAAACACAGTCACATGCTAAGAGGTTTTCTTCCAGTTACTTGGCTCAAACCCCAAAACACTGCCGAGTCATGCTGGGCGGGCCCCAGCCCGCCCCAGTTCTGGGCTTCTCCCACATTTTTGATTAAGGATAAGTCTGGGCGCAAACAGGAGGCTGCCTGCCTTGGTGGGGTGAGGAGGGCGGTCCCTGTGGCGGCTGTATAAGGAAAGGCGCTGGCCAAGTGTGCGCTGGCCCCCTTGGGAGGGCTGTCCCAGGCAGGGCACCTTGGGGCTGGGCCCTGCCTGGCGCATCCCGGAGACAGCCAGGTCTGAGACCTGCTCCCGGGTTCCCAAGGGACTCAGCGCTGACAGAGGGAGTCATCCTGGCGTAGGGACATGTTCCACTCTGTGGCCACAGCTTCCTGGGCCTACAGCTCCAGGTCCAGCCTCTGCTGGCATCTCCCAGACCAGCCCCTTTGCACTCTGAGGTTAACCCTGTGTTGTAGGGGAGCCATGCCCCTGCCCCCAAGTCTGGCCAGGGAATTCCCTTCCCAAACTGGTCCTACTGGCCCCAGCTTTGCACACGCTTCCATAAATGTCTCAGCGGAGCCGCTAATGGGTTTAGACAGGTGGCTGGGTTGGTCCAAACAGCTGCCTGTGGGGAATGTTGCTGGGGAGAGAGCGGCCTCAGCTGCCTCGGACACGGTGCTCCCGTAGAAGGAAGAAGGCCTGCACGGCGGACTTCACTCAGCCTGTGTCCTCCCTTTAAAAAGCTCAGGGCCGGGCGCCGGATAGAATGTCCTGTCTGCTTTGCGGGCGGCGCCACCCTCGGGGTGGGGAATGCACCCCTGGGGTCCTGGGGTCCCTTCCCATGTGGGAGTTTGGACTCCTGGGTGGATGGGTTCAATTCACATTTGCAGTCAGTGCTGTTGGGCTTTGACCTTTTTTTTTTTGAAATATAGATAGAAGAGTATACGTATACAGGGGTGGGCCAAAGTAGGTTTAGAGTTACGAATACACAAAACAGTTCTATTCTTGTATTATTATTTATTCCTTATTGTACTCCTAAGTGGACTACTACTTTCGCTCCACACTATATTTGTACAACCTGATGAGTTTTTCCCAAAAAGACATGTTGCTCACCTGCACCTAAATCAGGCAGCAGAGCCCGGAAGTCCATTCGGGGCGTCACTGTCTGTGTGGGGTCTCTTGTTGCAATGCAAAGTAGATTTCTTCCCAGCTGCTCCGGGCACAGCCTTGCGGGGGCGGGGGGGCGGTGTCATGGCCAGGAGGCCTGGGATTTGGTGAACAAGCCCCTGTGCATCCCACTCACACGCTTGGTGCGCCCAGGAAAACTGACTCTGGGGCCTGAGGTCCTGGTCTGGTTCAGGCGCCTGATGGAGATTGTGGGGTCCAGGCCAAGGTTGCTGTTTACTTAGAATTGCGGCCCCAGGGCCTTTGCCTGGCCTGCAGAGATCAGGCGATTTATTTTTATCCTTACTCTTGGTAATGCTCACTGATTTTAGAGAGAGGGGAAGGGAAGGAGAGAAACATTGACGTGAGAGAAACACAAATCCATTGCCTCTGGCACGCACGTAGACTGGGAATCAAACTCACAACCATTTGGTTAGTGGGGCGACGCTCCAACCCACCAAGCCTGGACTGATGTGCCAGTGTTTTTATGGCCTGACGCTTGGCTGTCCCCGTGGGCGGGGAGCAGTGTTTAGCGTCTGCATTGCCTTAGCCCCAGCTCGGAGCCCCAGGCCTGGGTGTCGGTGAGAGGGGACGCGTGTTTCCGTCCAAGCCCAGGGAGGTCCATCCCTCCCCTGGAGGTGTCCTCTTGGAAGTTCGGGGAAGGCGTGGGCGGGTGACTCATCCCAAGCCAGCGTGGACTGACGTGTCTGCTGGGCCGTGCGTGTCCCGGCAGGTGGGTCCGATGGCTCCAGGCTGTACGACTGCGTGTGGAGGTACAACTCGAGCGTGAACGAGTGGACAGAGGTGGCGCCCATGCTGAAGGCCCGCGAGTACCACAGCTCCTCTGTGCTGGACGGGCTGCTGTATGTGGTGGCTGCGGACAGCACGGAGCGCTACGACCACACCACCGACTCCTGGGAGGCCCTGCAACCCATGACCTACCCCATGGACAACTGCTCCACCACCGCCTGCCGCGGCCGGCTCTACGCCATCGGCTCCCTGGCCGGCAAGGAGACAATGGTGATGCAGTGCTACCACCCAGACACGGATCTGTGGTCGCTGGTGGACTGCGGCCAGCTCCCGCCCTGGTCCTTTGCCCCCAAAACAGTGACTCTGAACGGACTCATGTATTTCATCAGGTGAGTCTCTGGAGCCAAGGCCGCCGCGTGACCTTTCTGCCCAGGCCCCCCGTGCTCAGCGCACGCCCCTGGTCTCCCCTTCACACGGACGAGGGGCCTGAGGCCCGGCTGTGTGTTTCTGACCTGCGGCCTCCCTTCTGCTGGTTCTCAGAGCGGTTTCTGTGAGTGTCTAGGTTTTCTTAATGAAGGGACCCCAACGGTGGTGAAGTTGGGTCCTTTCTCAGAACCATCCTAGGTGCTAAATACAATGCGTCCCTTTGGCTGGACTCCCGCCTGGAGCGCTGTTTGCATGTGGCCTTTGTTGTTGAACAGGACCTGGTCCTCTCAGAGGGGTTCTGAACCTTGAAAAGACTGGAGGAGACCTTTTTGGGCACTTGAGTCTTCGGGGGAGATGTGGCTTTGTCAGAGGGACCCTTTGCTCACCTCGCAGAGTGTCCACCACACTCAGGCAGGGGCGGGGGGCACCTCTCTGTTTAAAGCAGCGCTTGTGTATCCATTCCCTCCCCGCCTGGCCTGGTACCCGGAGGTCCCATGGCTCTTGATGAATGGGTGCTGCTGTCCAAGAATCCCGCCCCCACTCTGGGCTGGGGCGGGGGGGCGTGGGCTGGTGGGGAGCAGACCCCGGAGCCACCTGTGGGGGTGACGGCAGTAGCCGGTGCACGTTGGGGCCCTGGATGTGGGGAGCACTGTGCTGCCTGCCTCCTGGGCGTTTGCATTGTTGATCTCCATGACCATCGTCCCTGTCTCAAGGATGGCAGAACAGGCCTCTGGGTAGGGGTAGGGGGCTTCCAGCCTTGGGCTTCAAGGGGCGGTACAGGGTTTGAGCTGAGGACATCTGCCCAGGTCCCTGGGTGGTGTCACTGCATCGTGGCCTCCCGGGCAGGCTGTGGCCCTGGCAGCGTAGAGCAGAGGTGGGCGACCGGGCATCCGCGTGTGTTGACTAGTCACAGCCAAAAGCTGCCTCCTGCTGGGCCCGGGGACATCCAGGGAGCCAGGAGCCCCCGCCTGCTGCACCCACCTGCTGCTTCCCGCCCCGGCCCGTAGCCTGCCCAAGGTACGGACCAGGGTGAAGGAGAAGGGACAGGCGGCGCTCCCCTCTGTCCCCTATCAGTGTGGGACTTTGAATTGGGAGCCTCAGAAAATGGGTGTGCTTTGCTGCTCGGTCCCCCCCACCCCCACCCCTAGCTTTCCCTCCCCACTCCTTCCCAGACTTTGGTGAGCATGTTCAGACAGGGCATCACTTGCAAGTGGGCCAAAAGGCCCGGCATTGCCATAGGCCAGGCATCACCATAGGCCAGGAACCTGGTGTCTGCTCCCAGAAAGCCCTGGCATGTCAGGCAGCCCCTGGTCCTGTAAAAAACATCACCTGACCCTTCCCCCAGTTCCGCCTCCATAGATCCCGGTAGATGTCTCCACGGGGGTGGAGACAGCTATAAATACAGCTTATCAGAGTGCCGGCCCCTCGGCTGGCTTCCAGTGCCTCCTGGTCTCAGCTACTTGTCATTACTACACCGGCCCACATGGAAGCGTCGGGGTGTCCCCCGCACCCATCCTTAGCTTAGGAAGGGTTTAATTAGGCTCGGGAGGCCAGGGGAGGCAGGCTCAAATCTGCCCCCCCCCCCACACCTGGCTGAGAGCCAGCAGTCAGGACAGACAGCCACCCCCCCCCCCCCCCCCCCCGCCCCACACACACTTGTCCTCTGGTGACCGGTGGGTCTGACGCGCTTGTGTCCAAGCCACCCTGCCCAGTTCGTGCTCTTTGGTTCCTGATGAACCACAGAACCCCCTGCCTGGACCCCCACCTACAGGGCAACTGCTGTTGGGAAGCTGTCTTCCCCGGAGGCCGCACCTTGTCACCGCTCCTGTCCTGGGCTGTGAGAAGCCACCACTTGCTCCTTCCTCCACCAGCCAGGGCCACCTCGGTCCCCATTTAGGGTGGCTCCCTGTGGGGGCGGGGATGGGGGCTGGTGTCTGCAGAGGGAGGGGCTGGCAGCTCTGTCCAGCCTGGCCCGTCTGGCTGCGGCTTGTACTGCCTCTGCTTGGGGCGGACAGCCCACTGGGGTCCGGTCTTGATTATCGTCGTATGGGCCACGAAGTAAGAATGGCTTTCACATTTTGACATATTTTGAGGAAAAAAGTCAAAGTAACAGTACTGTCTCCTAGGCTGTGTGAGTGTGTGAGGTTCAGGTTTCTGCAGCCCTTACCCCAGGTTTGTTGGCGGACGCCTGTGGCTGCACTTCCCGCTCGTGAGGGCCCGAAACATTTACTCTCTGGGCCTCTTGCTGACCCCAGGTCTGTGATCATTGCTTCTGTTTTGGGGGAGCACCTTTGCTTTTTGAGGCTGTGCCTTGGAGCCTCTTATTGCAGGGGTGGGGACACTGGCAGACAGGGTGGGCCCCGGGGGGAGAGCATAGCAGCGCCTTTCCTCTGCAGCCGCGGTCACCCTGCTGGGCGCTGAGGGCACAGCAGAGAACCGGGTGGGGCTGATGGCAGTGGTGTGGGCAGTGGCTGAGGGCCGGCCTGAGCACATAGGAGCTCGCAAAGGGGCTGGGGGGAGGGGCGGCCTGGCCCAGAGCGGGGGGCTGTGGGAGGCTGTCCCTGAAGCGGTGGCCAAGTCCAAGTCGGAAGGGTAAGGAGGAGATGGGCGGGAAGGACCCTGGTAAGTTCCAGCGCCGAAGCCAATGTGGCCACCGCGAGGGGTCTGGGTGGTGGGAAAAGGGTTAAGCACCTTGAGGGTGTGATCCTTGGGCTCAGAGAGCAAGGCCAGAGGTAGGTGTGGGGCCTAAAATCGGGGATGGGGGCCCACTGGCCACTGCGCTGTCAGGTGGCACCAATGACAGGTCCTTCACACCGGGGAGCCCTCCCTCCGCACTCAGCTCTGTCTCCCCACCCCCGCAGGGACGACTCTGCCGAGGTGGACGTGTATAACCCCACGAAGAACGAGTGGGACAAGATCCCATCTATGAATCAGGTAAGTGGGCGCTGGAAACACGGGCTGCTGGGGGGTGGGGGGCACGAGCAAAGGCCCTGGGGCGAGGTGTGCGAGCTGTGGTCCTAGAACAAGCGCTCAGCCCAGTGTGGCTGGTGCAGCGTGAACAAGCCCAACAAACGGGGGTGGGGAGGGCAAGGTCAGACAGGAGGTCTCCGGGGGCTGCCCTGGGAAATGATGCATTTATTGAGCGCCTGCTGTGTGCCCTGAACAGGGCGCCCCCGCTGCCGCAGCTGCCAGGTCAGGGCTCGCCTTCTCCCCGCTTGTCGAGGAGAGCGCGGCTGAGCCCGGGTGTCCTGGAACCAGGAAGCCAGGGCAGCGCCCGGCCGCATGGGCAATCCCTGAGCCCCGGATCCACCTACATCCACCTGCATCTCTTTCTCTTCTGTCTTCCTTTCTAAAATCTACGAACCTGCTCTCACACTGCCTCTGCATGGCTGATGTCCCCACTCACAGCATCACAGTTTGGCATCTTTACACTTAAGAAATGTGATGTCAGGTTTTTCCTCCCAAATGAGCCGCACACACTCATTATAGCAAATCTGAGATAGTCCAGCCTTCCAGCTCGGAGCCCAGGCTTTCGGTCAAGTCCCAGCTCTGTGACCGTCAGCCACACACAGCTCTGCTTTCCCGTCTGGAAGGTGGGGCAGACAGTGGTGCCAGTCCTAGGGGGCCGGTGGCTCTCACAGGGAGACTCTGCCCGTCGCCCCCTGGCCGCCATAGGGACTGGGCGTGGGGCCCGTGTTCAGCGGTGGGGCATAGGGAGGGCGTCGGCCTGCCCTGGGGAGCGTGCGGACCAGGGCTCCCGACGCCACGGCCAGAAGTGCTGAGGCGCCCCTGCCATGGAGGGGCCTGCCAGCCACCACTCACCTGTCCCTCTTGGCCCACAGGTGCACGTGGGGGGCAGCCTGGCCGTCCTCGGAGGGAAGCTGTACGTCTCAGGGGGTTATGACAATACGTTTGAACTGTCGGACGTGGTGGAGGCCTATGACCCTGAGACTCGGGCGTGGAGCGTGGTGGGCCGGCTCCCAGAGCCCACCTTCTGGCACGGCAGTGTCAGCATCTTCCGCCAGTTCATGCCGCAGACGCCCTCAGGTGGGCGTGGCTTTGAGCTAGACAGCAGCACCGGCGACATGGACGTGGGCCGGCCCCGGCCGCCCCAGAACCCCCAGGAGCTGCACTAGCCCCGGCCTGGCCCAGGGAGGGCCTCGGTGCAGGTGACCGGCACCTCAAGGGGCGACGACCCCCTCCTTTGTGCTCCAGGACAGGTTGGGTGCACCAGGTGGTACGGGCACTCTTGGGCTGCTGAGCGAGCCTCAGGGCCTGATGCCGGGGTGGTTCTGTTCACTGGGAACCCAAGTCACAGCTGCTGGAGCCGGGGCCAGTTGCGAACGCCCCTCTCTTCGACCAGGAAGGGCTGCCTCCCTGCTGGCTGCAAAAGGTCAAACTCCCCTCCTCCCCCAGAGTTGCCCCTCTCCCAGCACCGACTGACTTGCTCCCACCATGGGAGAGGAGGGCCACTTCTGGGGCATGAGTGGAGGGGGACAGGTCCCCCCACGAGCATCAGAACGACCTTCCTGCAGGCCCTGCCACCCTGGGTGTTGGGAACCAGGCCGACGATGGCTGCAGCAGGGTCCCAAGTTCTCCGCCCAGTGCCAGCCATCTCCCCAGATGAAGGGGGTCGCACACCAAAGCACCCTCGCAGGGTGGACCTCCAGCTGGGGAGCTCAGATGCAGGGGCGCAGGACGATGGGACCTGGGTAGCCACGCAGGGGGCCCAGAGGGACGTGCCCGGGGTCTGCTGTCTCCGGTGGCCTGGGCTGAGGCAGACACTGGCCGCTCCCACCTACCCCACTCCAGCCAGCCCGTCTCCATGCTCCTCTTGCCCCTGTGGGACCCCTCCGGGTCCGTTGGGGTGCGACGGGGCGAAAGCCTGCAAGTACAAGGTCGCCGCTCCTGCCTGGGCGGCCCAGGGAGCCTGCCTTCGGGGCCTGGCCAGGCAGGCGGCTGCGGGCGCCCTTGCCAGCCTGTGGCCCGGAACCCCGCCGCTCCTGAAGCAGGCCCTGGGCGGATTGGCCTTGTGGGGGAGCTGCAGGGTCTGAAACGCGGTTTGGCCTTTGCTTTAAAGAAGGAGGCAGCCGGGAGCGGGGTCTGCCGCGATTTGCGCTCCGTCGCAGGGCCTCTGCGGGCGCTTTCGGCAGGGGGCCTGGGGTGGGGCTCCGGGGGCCCCGCAGTGCAGGGGTCTTTTCCCCTGGGACCTGGAGCCGTTTCCTGGGTTGGGTGGCCATGTCCCCCCAAGGTACCGAGCATAGCTTTGCTTTAGTTCATTTTCCTTCCAGAGGCGGGGGTGTTTGCATTTTCCTCATTAGAGGAGTTGAAAGTAAGTGCTCCCTGAGCAGCCTTTCCCAGTGAACTGACGAGAAGCATCCTCACCAGGAGGAGCAGGGGCCAGGCGGCCATGGTTCTGGGGAGGAAGCCTTGTGATCTTCAGGGCCCCCGCGTGGGTCCTCCCGTGGGTGGTGTCGTCACTCCAGGTTAGACAGGGTCCAGACAGCCTGCCGGAGTGGCCTCTGCTCACCGCCATCCCTCCCCGTCCCCTCGGGCTCCTCACTCACCTGGTCACTCGTCGGCACCCTCCCGCGGGCTCCTGCCTTCAGCCCTCCAGGCCTGAGTGTTCTCCTGGGCGAGTCGGGTCCGGTCTGGCCCCTCCACAGCCCTCACTCCACTTCCTGGGGCGGCCGTGGCCTGCGGCCCAGCTGCCTGCCTGGCGGGCCCTCCCGTGCTGTGGGGTGGCTGCTCCCTGTTCCCGTGCAGGCAGGACAGCCTGTGACCTGTCAGTGGCAGGGGACAGCGGGCAGGGCCAGCCTGCTGGGGATTGATCGAGCCCTGCTCATACACCAGGCACTGAGCTCGGTGCCAGAGGCCGCCCTGCTAGGTTAGTGTTGGGACTTGCCACCCGGGTGGCGGTGGCTGGTGTGACAGGTCATCTCAGGGCCTCCAGGGGAAGGTTGTGTGGAGGCCTTGGACTCGGGCGCTGCGGGCCCCCTTCCTCAGGGCTGCCTCCACGGAGAGCCCTTGGCCAACCCGAGAGACTGACATTTTGCGGAGGGTGGACGTGCGCTGTGGCCGCTGGGGCGCTGCTCCTCTCCGTCCAGGCGGGCGTGGCTGTGGCCCAGTCATGGTCAAGTTTTCCCTGGGCAGTGAGGCATTATGTGAAGCTTTGTGGTTGAGACGGGGCTGCCAATGCTCGTTTCTTGCAAAACCAGCCTTTTCCGGGCCCTCCCTGTAGACGCTCTCATGGCGGGGGACCAGCATCCTGGGTTCTTCCTCGGTTCTTCACTGTGACTGCCCTCGCAGGGCCGACCACCCCACCGCCTCATGGTGGCCTGGGTGGCGGCTGCCGTGGAGAGAGGGCTGGGTGTGCTGCCTCCTCTGGGTCCCCACCACCCAGGTCCCGTCTTTGGTTTAAAAGACTAAGGGTGGGAAGGGGAAGCAGCAGCCTCCCACTGGAGGAGGACTAGGGGCGGCCCCCCAGAAAGGTCGGCACCCCCAGGCACAGATCCCGGCTGCGGGGCCCCGCCACTTGCCGACGTCTACACTGACCTGGGGGCAGAGGGTGGGGCCGGCTGGGGGTGCGACTGCGTCTGTGTGTTGGACGCACACACCTTGATGTGTCTACAAGACAATTAAGTTATGAGAGTTCAGTGATAGTATTTAATGCTGATCTACGACGTACTGTGTATTTATGACTCAGACACCCTCCGGTGTCCTGCACCCAGGGGTCAACCCGAGGGTGGGCAGGTTTGCGTATTTATTTGTCTGTTCTGTAGGCCTGTGTCCAGAATCCTGTCAGGTTTTAGGATGCCTTCAATGTGTACTTTTTGAAATAAAAACGTTTCCTATACACTTGGTGTCGTTGCTTTTATCCTGCTATGTCTTAGAGACTTGGTTGAGGCCAAACTTATGGGGCTGTCTGTGCCAGCAGGGATGGGGCTGCGTGGAATGCCCAGGACTCCTGCTAATGGCCCTGGGGACAGCCTGGCTGGCCCTTCCTTGAGTCATGACAGGGTACAAAATAGACGAAGCAGCCAAGGCCGAGACGCGAGGAGCACAGGTGCCTGGGTCACAGCCTCACTTGCTGCTCCAAAGCCGGTCAGCCTCCCGGACCCCACCTGTGGGCACCCCACCCCTCCCGCAGGTGTCTGTGCTCCCGATCCTGTCTCTGCACTGGGCGCCCCTGGGATTTGGCGGGGTGGGGGTGTTGACCTTCATCTGGAGGAGCCGGTAAAGCTCAAAAAGGCTGCTCACCGCTGCAGAAAAGGAGGCAGGGGAACCCAAGGAGCACGGCTCGCCTGCGCCAGGGAGGGAGCTTTTTGAGACGGGAGTTGACTCCTTTTTAACACTTTGGCCACGCAGCTCCAAAGCGGCTCCTAACCTGTCAGTCATTGCACTCTCGTTACCTCTGGGCTCAGCGGTCAAGTAGTAAAAGGAAAGGGGTCCTTCCTCGAAACCCACGAGGGACTGAGCACGGCGTGGGGCTGCCGTTTCAGGACGCCTGTGATGGGACTGGAGTCTGGCCCGACGCAGGCTCCCAGGGTCACGACCTCCACTGTCCAGTCTCGGGGCTGAGCAGCAGCACCCTCTTCTAGGGGGTGAGCTGTCAGTCTGTGCAGCGAGTGCTGGGGCCTGCGGCAGGCGCAGCACTGAGTGTTGGGGCGGGATCCCAGGCCCGCAGGTTTGGCCCGCAGGGGCTTTTGCCCTGGCACCCGGCTGCCGTCCTAGCGGGGGGCTGTCCTGAGAGCAGCCCCCAGCCCATGGGAGGGCCGGGGGGTTGCCGTCCAGCGATAGGTAACTGGACGGCGGGCTCTCATTTGATCCCGTCTATGAGGCGTCTCCTGTCACTGGTTCCATTGAGAGAGGAAACGCAGCAGTTCGGACTTGCCCCAGCCAGAGCTAAAACTGAGTTCAGGAGGGATTTGGATGCAACCTGCCTCCAGCACCCCTGACAAACGGCACCCTGAGCACCGCTCCTGCCGCAAGCGGGGGAACTGCTGGCTCTCTAGGCCTGGCCTTGCCTGGGCCCCAGGCCTCCTGGACGAGCTGCCCAAGCTCAGCCCCTCCCAAGGGAAGGGCCTCACTTGCGGGCCTGCGGCCAGCCAGGGCCTAGAGCTTGCTGACACACAAGCCCAGCCCTCCTCAGGCACCCCCCCACCCCAGCTGTGCCCACCCATACCCTGACTGGTGTGGGGGTCTTGAGCCATTGAGGCCATTGGGGGTGCAAGCTGACTCCAGGGGCTCAGCCTTGCATTCCACCCACGCACTGGCAGCACGCACCCTGGAAACAGGAGTGTCGCTGCGGGATCTGGCCCCCGCTCCCAGTCCTAAAACTCTGATGGAGGGCAGGCTGGGAGACAGGTGACAGCCTCCCGGGCCAGAGGCTTGGCCCCCAAAACTATCTGCCCAGGTGTTGCTCTGCTGAGGGCTTCCAACAAGGAGAGGGAGGTGGCTGAGCTCAGAGCAGCCGGGCACACTTTCGGTGGGGCAGGGGGGCGGGGAAGCAGCACACCTGGGAGTCACCTGGGGAAGGAGACAAGCCAGTCTGGAGCCACGCAGTTTATTGGGGGCTGGGGCGAGGTGGGCACAGTGGGCGCAGGGCTACGTGTCACAGTCCTCAGGAATAGCAGCTGTGATGAGCAGCGAGGGCTCCATGCCGCCCGGGCCTGTGAAGCTCTCCTCGGCGCACAGGCTCTGGGCCGGGAGCCGGGGGCCCAGGCTGCCCTGGGCCAGGGCCTCCACGACAACCTCGGCCGAGCCCACCTCCAGCTCCGCAGGTGGCTGCAGCGCCACCACCACCGTCTTCTCATCCTCGATGACCAGGTTCCGGAGCTTTCGCTGCCTCGGGTTGTAGTTCTCCACGCGGTCGTGGATCTCCATGTGCCTCCGCAGGTGGGCCTAGGGAGCAGGGGGACTCAGGGCTGGGCTGCAAGGGGCCCGAGCGGGCAGGAGGCGGTGGCCCCAGGCCTACCTGCCGGGTGAACTTGTAGCCGCACTCAGTGCACTCGAACTTCCTCACGCCCTTGTGCCTCCGAACGTGCACACGCAGCTGCTCCACCGCTGCAGGGGGGAAGCGCCCCACAGGAGACATTGGGAAGGGTCCTGCCCTGAGCCAAGGCTCCTCTGGGTTTCCACTGCTGCTCAGGCCCCCCTGAGACTACAGTGCCACCTCAAGGTCACTACTGCACAGGACCCTGGGGAGCCCCCACCCCCTCCACTGGACTCAAAGCAGGCAACCCAGGGGGAAGGGAGACATTGCTGGGGTGCCCCACCGAGGAGGAGCACATGGGGGCCACAGCTGCAGGCAACCTTGCCTCGTGGAGACCCTCCAACCCCGGGGGCAGGAAGTGTCGGTGGCCCAGACCTCCCCTGTGCCCAGGGCTCAGAGGGAAGACCGAGGGCTGAGGACCTGGGAAAGCCCGGGTACCTTTGAAGGTCTTCCCGCAGATCTGGCAGAAGTGGGGCCGGCCCTCCTGGTGGCGGCTGGCCACGTGCCGCAGCAGGGGCCCCTTCTCGGTGAAGCGCTGCTCGCAGAACTCACAGCTGAAGGGCCTCTCGCCGGTGTGGGTGCGGTTGTGCTTGTCCAGGCTGGCTGTGGGGACAAGGCGCGGGCTCAGTCCCCGGGCCTCACCCCTGGGCCAGGGTCGGGGGTGACGGGCCTGCCTCACCTTGGGTGCGGAAGGTCTTGCCACAGAGGTGGCACTGAAAAGGCTTCTCGCCCGTGTGCGTGCGCAGGTGCATGTTGAGGTTGGCCTTCTGGGTGAAGGCGTGGCTGCAGAACTCACAGACAAAAGGCCTCTCGTTTCTGTCCAGGTGGGGACACAAGCAGAGGCTGTTACTGAGGGAAGAGGTCCCCCTCGCTCTGCTGCAGCTGGGAGCCCTCCTGGCCTGAGCAAAGGACACAGCAAGGCTGAGGCAAGCCTGCCTGAGCCCCGGGGCGGGGCCTAGGCTTTGATGAGCTGCCAGAAAGGGACACCAACTCCAGCTCGGAGCCACCGGGACCGAGAATCTACCCTGGGAAGCAGAGAGCCTCCTCTCAGCCTGGACCCCCTCCCCCAGCCTCTGCCTGGCCAACGCCCATCGCTCCGACGCCCCTGCCGACGCCCCGCTCAGCGCACGGTAAACTCTGCTCCGGGTGAGTGCCAACGAACTACTTCTGGGCCCGCTCGCTGGCCTGGAGCCGGCCCAGGGCCAGGTCCCGGGGGGAGGCGGGCCAACCCCACCTGTGCTTGGCCTTGATGTGCATCTGCAGGCCATTTCGGCTCGAAGCCCGGTGCCCACACTCCTCGCAGACAAACAGCTTCTCCCCGCGGTGCTTGAAAGCCTCGTGCAGCTGCAGTTCCGTTCGGGACAGGAAGCACTTGGCACAGGTGGGACACTGCAGGGCAGAGGGAGCAGGGCCAGGGTGAGGGCAGGGCAGGGCTGCCTTGGAGCCCCACTCACCCCTGGACACCACGCACAGCAGACACCGCACGGCCGCCCTTCTGCAGCAGCTCCAGTCCCAGCACCAGAGCGTGTGGGCCCCGGGCCCTAGGCCTCAGCTCGGCCTAGCACTTACAGCGTGGGGCTTAGGGGCGCCGTGCAGCTTGATCATGTGGCTCTGCAAGTCCTTCTTCTGCATGAACTGCTGGGAGCAGGAGGAGCACTGGAAAACAGGCCCCCGGGCAGCTGAGGCAACCTGCCCCCAAACCCTGCCCCCCGCCACCTATGCGGGGACCAGAGGGCCAGGCCCAGCCTGAGTTGCTGGGAGGCCCGACTCGGGCGAACGGCGCACTGGGAAGGCGCACGTGCTATGCCCGCAGGGACACCAAGCCTGCCCTCCACGGAAATGAACGAAGGCCCCAAAAGGACCGAGGCCCAGCCTGAAGGTGCGGGGTGCTGGACAGGCAGGGAAGGCTGGGTTCCTTGAAGCTGGCGAGGGGAGGGGCGCCTGACACCATGCCACGTGAAGGGCCAGCGGGAGGCATCCTGGGGCTGCAGAGCCTGACCTTGTAGGGCATCTCCCCCGTGTGGGACACCATGTGCACCCGCAGCTCCATCCTCCGGCGGAAGGTCTCCTCACACACAGAGCACGTGAAGACCTGGCAGTGTGAGGGGCAAGCGGGGCCGGCATCAGGGGGGGCCTCTGCCCGCGACGGCGGCCTCTGCCCGGGCTTCCACTCGCTGCTGGGAGGAGCCTGCCCGAGGAGGGGGCCGCTAGGGTGGGAGAGGGCAACACGTAACCTGCCTGCCCTGACCTGACTGTTGCAAACCCACCACACCAGGCCCTTCGCGGGCCCGGCAGGCTGGTGGCAGGGGCTGGCGGCCCTCCCTGCAGCCCCCGCCCCAGGCACACGGCCTCCGGGACTACAAGGGCGGGGTCTGGCCGGCCCCATTCAGCAGGCCAGCCAGCGGGGTGAAGGGAGCGTCCAGGGGCCTTTCCCAGCAATCCCCACCCCCCGCATCCCGAGGGCCCCTTCTCCAAAGCCCACAGGCCCACCCGGCAGGCAAGCCCAAAATGCCTCCTGGGCTGTCCCTTCCACTCTTGGGACCTCTGTCCCCACCTGTGACACCAGGGAATCAACTTGATGGCGTCCAAGGACTCTGCAGCTCTCTTGAGATTACCGTCCCACCTAAGTCTCCTGGGGACCCTCCCGATGGCAGAAGCGCAGAGGCTAACATGCCCCCACCCGCAAGGACCTAGGCCAGCCCATAAGTACCTGTTCCGAGCGGTTCATACAATTCCGGGCTTCGTGCTCCAGGAGGTTCTCCTTCCGAAAGTAGCACTTCCCACATTTGGGGCACTCGAAGGGCTTCTCGCCAGTATGCTTCCTGCCCGGAGAAGCCACGGGGGCGGGGAGGGGGGGTGGGGCCTGAGCCACTTCCAGCCTCGCCCTCACGCGGTGCCCCCTCTGGCTCCCAGGGGCTCACCGCATGGCTGGTGAGCCGGTAGGAGACGGCAGCCCAGCTCCAGACCTGGGGGGCCACCCCGGAGCCCTGCCCAGCTCTTTGAAGGCAAAAATGATCTCTGGGTCCAGACTCACTGGGGAAACCACTCTATCTGCCTGGAACTTCTGTGGACTCCACCTTCCAACTGGCCGGAGCCAACCGCTCCGCCTCGCCTCCAGCCACCCCCCGTGCAGCCCCGCCAGCCCGAGCCGCTGCCTGAGCCTCCTGCCTGTCCACTCCCCACCTGCCTCCCGACAGCTTTAAACGTCAGCAGTCAGAGGAACCCGTGAACAGCAGGCTCCTGTCACTGCTTTGCTCAGAACCCTCCCGCGCCTCCCATGCGCACCGAGGAAAGGCCGGGGGCCCGAGAGGGCACAGCGGGCATGCCCCCCCGCCTGGCCTCACTCCCAGGTCTCCCCATCTCACCGCTCGCTCATCCCCACCCCAGCCCAGCAGCCTGCAGCCCAACACAACCTTACTCTGGGGAGTGACCGGTGTGGAGCGCCCCAGGGCACCCCCCCACGAGGACTTCCCCAAGGACTGCAGCTGCCCCAGAGCAGGGAGCGGGAACAGGTTCCGTTCCTCCCAGCTCCAACGCCCGTCGGCCGCCTGTGGCCTCCCAGTGTCGTACTGAGAAAACACACGTGGCCCAGCTTGGCAAGACATCGTGCATGGCGGGCCAGCCACGTCTGGGGCTCGGGAGTGGCAGGGCTGGAAGGCGCGTCCCCCAGCTGCTGTCCCTGGGGGCCCTGCAGGAACTCTGGAGCAGCAGCCTCCAGGGGAGCGACGGACACGCTCGGGTCCAATTTGGCAGCTGGGGACGTGTGCCTGCTGAGCACTTGCAATGTGGCCAGTATGTCCAAGGGACTGAATTTATTTCATGGTACTTTTACTTCGCTACAGTAGCTTCATGTGGCACTTGGTTTCCTTATCAGATGCTGTGGTGTTAGACAAATGAATGGTCTTCTCAGCTCCACCAACACCCCGAGGCTAACACTCCCCCGGAAACGCAGGCAGCACCTCTTGGCCCCAAGCCCACTGTGAGGCCTCAGAAATTCCCAGGCCGGGCCTCGGCTGTGCATGGGGCCTCAGGCCCCTCTCACTCCCCGGCCAGAGCCACCTGGAGCCAAGGTCCACAGTGGGCGGAGCCCATCAACAAGATGTCCACAAGTCCACTCCGACCAAAGGCCCAAAGGGAAAAAGAGGGCAAAGGAACCAGACCCACAGCTGGGTTCTCACTCCCCAATGACCAGGGGTGTGCCCACACCAGGCACTCTGCGGGCCTGAAGGGGGCCCCTGGCTTTACATGGCCCAAAATTGGGGTGAGAGGCCCCCTCCCCAACATGGGAATGGCAGACGGGTAAAGCAAATAGAAAAACAGAATGGTTACCTGTTGTGCACTTTTAGATAATACTTGCTGAGGAACTTCTTGTGACATGTGGGGCACTCAACCGGCGCCGCTGCACCTCTCCTGTGCTCAGGGGGCTCGGCTGCCGGGGCACCTGCGCCCAGGGCTGGCTCGGCTGCACAGGGCGTTCGGAGGGCGTTCGGTTTCCTCCTGGTCAGCAGAGCCTCCGTGGCAGAAGTGCAGTCGCCGTCCCTGTCATCCTCAACTTGAACGACCACCTCCCACTAGAGAAGAGGCAGCAGGAGGGGCGGAGTCAGCAAATTAATCAGCAAGGCCTGGGGGGGGGGGGCGTCTACAGGGCAGCCAGCTCCACCCAGGCCCATCCCCCGGCCCAGCCCACGCGAGTCCCTGTCCCTGCCGGGGCAGACAGCACTGGAATCCTGCATGCAGACGGCAGTGCCTTGATTTGTGGAGAACTGGAAGTGTGGCTGGATCTCAGGGCCCTGGGGAACGCTGTAAACCTGACCCCACCCACTCCACCCCACCCCACCCCCCGCCCCCCGGAGAAGCTGGCAACCACCGACGGCTGAGATGCGCAAAACAGTCAGCCTGAGGCTGCAGGACAGAGCCCGTTTCGTGTGATTAGTGAAGACCTATTTCAAACACACACAACAGAGATTCTACCTTGGGGTCTGGCTCATGCCAGAAAGATGTCAGTCTCTTCCCCCTCCGCCCACCTCCCCATTCCCAGCACCCTGGGCACAGTACCTCACTGCTCCTCCCCTGCAGCTGGGCACCTTCGGCCTCGAAGGGCCTTGGGGGTACTTTGCAATCCTCAGGTTCCTTGTCCTCTGGGGCACAAAGCTTCAGGGCCTGCTTGAGTTTCCCACGCAGGAAGGAGGGGCTCTCCATCTGAGCAGGGAGACCAAGCTGGGGCCTCTGAGGGCTGTGACTGCCCCTGAGCTCCTGCTCTCTGGGCACTTCACCCACAGTCCTTGAAGCTTCCTCCCCCTCCATGCCTGTCAGCTCCTTGAGGTGGCTGTTCACGTCCCGGGGGGCAGGCTTCCCCAGCCCACTCTGGCCACTGGGTGCCTGTCCCACCGGGGTTTTGGGCTTGAAGCTCTGGCACAGCTCCACAGCCTCTGGCACTCGGAGCTCCCTGGCTGCCAGGAGCACCTGATCCCGGTTCCCTGATGTGAGGGCGAGGTGACCAGTGTAGAAAAAGTCCAACAAGAGGCCAAAAATCTCGGCGAAGCCAGCAGGGAGGACCACGCTGCCCCCGGAGCCATCCCCATAGAGGCTCTGGAAGAAGTGGCTGCAGCAGGCAAGGACACTCCAGTGCGCCTTGAACACCAGGCCACCCACGTCCAGGGTGGCATCGCAATACTGGCCCTTCTCCCGCTGCTTGTTGAGCTCCTGCAGAACCCTCACACTGTGCTGGATGAAAGAGCCGTCCATGGTCTGTCTGGAGGGAAGGAAGGCACAAGTGATGCGCAGGCCAGCCCAGGGAAAGGGGAGGTGGCCTCTACTTAGTCACGTTGACCACAGCGAAAGCTCAGATCGAGATCAGAGTGTGCATGCTGAGACAGGAACAGGCTGAAAGCCTCCCTGGGGGCGGGGGTCACGTGAGCAGGCCACATTAGGGCTGGCCAGCGAGTGGGTGACAGGGGCTCAAGGGGACTAAGTAGGAGGAGGCGGCATGGCTTGGCGGGAGATAGGACAGGTTCATCAAGGGGAGCTGATGGAAGGAACCAAAGTTTGGGGAGAGAGGCAAAGGATCAGCATGAACTGATCGACCTGGCAGAAGAGGGAGGAAGCGTGGCAGGAAAGGGCGGCGGCTGCGGACAGGTGAGCGGAGTCCACGCCGCGCCCACGCGTCCCGAGCGGCCGGGCGAAAAGCGGCCGCGGTCAAACTCCGTCAGCGCTCACAGCGGCCGTAGCCCTTCCCTCTTTCGCCCGCCCTTCTCACCCGGGCCGGTCCTGCCCGCGCCGGACCCACTGGTTCCGGACCGAGTCCACTCCGCGGCCCCACCGACCAACTGCTCGGACTGTACGTGCCCAGGCGACCGTACGGAGACCCCGCCGTCGCCGTCGCCGGACGTAACGTCAGGGCGCGTCCTCCATGACGTCAGAGCGCGCACGCGGGGTGGAACCCCCCGAAGGCGCAGGGCTTCTAGCGACAGTTTTGGGGGCGAGGCACAAGGGAAATGGCCAATGGAACGGGAAAGGGGCGGGGCCAACCCGGACCCGCCTCCCGGAGTTGCCTAGCAACGCCAAGCTGGGAGCCTGGTCCGTATTTATCTCCCGCCCAGGTTCCGGCTGCGGTTTGTCCGCGGCCGCGCTTTCACCCTTGAAGAGGCAGCGCTCCAACCTCGCCCAGTCGGGAAGCGCAACCAAGACGTACATATCACCTCTTTATTAGTAGCCGGGAGTCTGGACTGGACCCTCCTCTGTGCTTACATTTCCCAAGCCAAGAATGATAAGCCGAGAGGTCCCTAGGGAGGCCTTACCCTGGTAGCTATGCCCACATGCCAGTGAAGCTATGATGCTATGATGCTATGATGAATGGGAGCAGCCAGCCCCAAAGAAAAGGCATAAGCATCTCTCTCCCCAGCATTTGCAATAAGCAAATCCACCTTTCCAAACTCCTGCTCGGTGTTTTCTCTGAGTTGACTTTCTTGAGGACAGAGGAGATGCATCCCCGCAGGGGTAGTAAAAGGAAAGCCCGTGGCCCCTGGAACCCAGCTCTGAGCTGAGCCCTAGCTACCTCAATTTGCTTTCTGATCTTGACTTTACATCTCTGGGTGGCTTAAGCTCTTCTGCTGCTGCTGCAGACATATTAGTATCTGCATTTGGGCCAAGCTGTTCAAGGTACTAGCTGTCTTTGGCGCGGGCAATAGAGGGATAGCATGGGACAGTACAATGAGAACATAGCTACATCCATTTGGATAAAGAGGTTAAATTTAGGATAAGATTGCATCTGTAGGAGTTGGTTAGGAACTGTCTAATAAAGGCAAGGTCGGCCTCAGACTTTCAACTGGTTTCTTTCTGCTTGATCAGAATTGTCAGGTGGCAGATATCCTCCAACTGGTACCAACCTGGCAGCAAAGTGACTGGGACCCTGGTTCTGGGGTCAGGTGTGCACATGTCTAGCCCCGGGGAGGTCCCTTCACCTGCTGTACAGTCATTCGCCCACTCGCTTGGTCTCTCGCCACTCTTGTTGAGGAAGACCCCAGCTTCACAGGGCATAAACTCGAAGCAACAGTGGTGGAAGCCCACAATCGCTCACTGGTGCCCTTCAAGACTGGAGCACAAAGGCATAGTCACCTGCAAGAAGCCGCAGGTGTTCTGTCACTGCATGGAGGGTCCCAAGTCAAGGGATGCTCACACATGGAATGGAAAACAGAACCTGCGCATCTGCTGCCCTGGCTCACTCGCAGGGCGGAGCCAGGTTCCGTTGCTGTTTGTGTGAACCAACAGCAACGGGGCGTCTGTCCTATCTTGTAGCCTGTGGAGTTGCCCTGGCTGGGCTGGGTACAGCCATGGCGGCCTGGGACCTGAGAGCCCCTCCTGCTCGGTAAGCTGCATCAGCCTCGCCCCTAAGCTCTGGGCCGCCCCTCTAGCAATCACGGGTGAGTGGCACATCCGCGTTACCTGGCTGTCCTCGCCCTGCCACTGGGTTCTGGTCTTATTTATGTCCGGCCAGACCCGAGACCACGTGGGCGAGTCAGTGACATTGTGAAGGTCCGCTTGGGGCCACTCCAGCCCCAGGTAATTATGTGGTAGCGGCTGAGGGGGTGCCCATCGTCATGAAACGTCACAGTGTCCTTGTGCAGAGGGAAATTGACCTTGCGGGTATGCTCCAGAAGCTGAAGGAGAAAGGGACGGTGGAGCAGCCACGATGACACAGACTGCTCCCCCTTGACCCTCCTTGACCCTCCCAGCTCAGGAAGCAAGTGCCTGGGGTCTTTCGGGGCTTGTCTCTGGTGGTTTCAGCCTGTCTGGAAGTTCCAATCCCTTCCTGAGAGTCCCTTCCCTTCCTAGAATGCCCAGCGACCCTTCCAACCAGCCTCCTGACTGAGAGAGGGCCTCTAACAAAAGACACTTTTACCGGGATTTTTAGCCCTGGAATCAGTGATAGTGTCGGGGGTAGGGCCAAGGTTCAGAGAAGAAATGCCTCAGAGAAGGGATCAGCCCTCTGCTCGGTGGCCTTGGCCCCCTTCCCCAGCACTAGGCTGGCCAAGGAATGGCCCTCCTGCTTCCCTCAGGAAAGCACCTGCACCCCCAGCTGCCCATAGTTACTGATATGGGGTGCCAGAGGCTGGCAGCCTTACTTGCCAGGGGGCAACTCAGTCTCTAGAACAGGCTTTGGAGGCCCAGCCCAGGAGCTGGGGGAGGCCATGGGCCACCGTGACAGCCCCGTATAAGTTGTAGGCAGAGCTCACAGAAAATACTCAGAGCTCGGGCATCTTCTGTGCCATGAAAGGCCAGCACTCTCTGCAGCACTGGTCACCGCTGCCCCTGGGGCCCCTGGAGCATGGCCTCTGGGCCCCCTTGTCTGTCCCGACATTGGCCTTTTTGAAGTCCTGCAGGCCAGGGACAGGTCCCGCAGGGCGGCCACGCCCCTGGCCCCAGGCACACTGACGTGTGTGGAGATGCGACCCACCCCTTGGCAGTCAGGGCAGCCAGCACCGCGGACTCGGAGAACAGTCCGGCCAGCTACCCACTGGAGAAGATGCCCACGACAGTGGTCCTCACTCAGGCCAGGCAGAGGGGCGTGCTCTGCATCCTCTGGTCGCCTGGCTGGGCAGAGAAGGGCACCACGTCTTGGCAGGCAAGACAGATGCCCCGCTGGGCGTCCCGGTCCTCCGGCACCTGACCCCGCGGCTGCCTGTAGTTACTGTCGCTGCCCACCAGGGAGACCCAGACCCGCCCAAACCTCTGGAGCAGCAGCACCATGACCTCCACCTGGCATGTGTGACTGAGAGCGATGTGCAGGAAAGAGGGGCACTGCCGCCTCCCGTGCTCACCACACTGCAGGTCTCATACCTGAGCTGCAGGGGCGCAGCTCAGCGAGTTCTGTGGCCCCACACTTGATTGGGCCCCCCCAATGCCCTGTGCTTGGTGTGGAGACACAGGATGGAGACGGGTCCCGGCCCTGTTTCCCAAAGACGGCACCGCTTGACGTCGGAGGCTGACGGGTTATAAATGGAGAAGGGGCAAGCCTCAGGGGAGGCTCTGGGGAGAGGAAGGGGACTCGGCCTGGTGGACACGGTGGGGTGGGGGGTGGAGCAGTGGCTCGCGCTTGCCGGGCAGCGGGAATGAAACCTGCGAAATGAGGCAGTGCCCTCGGGGCCCTGGAGGAGCTCCCGCCAGGAGGTCGCCAGGCGGGAGGTCAGGTCCTGGAGGAAGGACGGCATGAGCAGGCATGTCTCGTCGGGCCGGGGCCTCCGCTGTCCTCATGGCGAGCCTCTAGGGTTTACGCAGAGACGTCACATGTTCAGACTTGTGTCTCAAGGATGTATCTCTGATTTCAGTGAGGAACGTGTTAGAAAAGGCTCAAGACCGAGTCAGAGAGACCCCCTAGGGGGGCAATGGAAACGTTCAGCAAAGGGAGGGTGGCGGTCTAAGCTGCAGTTGTGACCCCGGGAGCATTTAGAAGGTACAAGCAGGGGCCGTGGTGACAGCTGACCACGGGGCGGAAGTTTCGAGGGAGGGTGGGTTTTCCCAGGCACGGTGAGGCAGGAAGATGGGGAAGCAGCCCTTACAGAGGAGGAACCCTGGGCCAGGGGTCCCTGGGGACAGGGACTTCGGCGATGTGACTCAGGAGCTATGACCACTCAGGAGATCAGAGGCCAGACTATGTATCTGCCCCAGCCCATGGTGGACTTCAGAAGGGGAGACAGACAAACCACCGGGGCCCCTGCTCACCAGGGACACTGGGAAGGGGCCGGGCGGGGCTGCAGCACTGGCAGCGTGGCGGGGGCGGGGGGGGGGTCAGGCCCAATCGCCACCACAGCTGTCGGGCAATGGAGGGAAGAGTTTCCTGGGATCCCTCTGTGGCGTGCCCCCCGCAGGGAGAGCTTGCTCAGAGTGGCACTCACGGTGGCTGACTCTGAGCACAAAGTCGCATTGCGTGCACCCAGAGCGACACTGGGCAGCAGAGCCGTGGAGTTGTTCATCTCCTCCACACCAAAGCTCGTGGCCTGGGAAAGGTGGCAGCCCCGGCTGCCGGAGCTGTTGGGTCTGTAAGGAAAACCAAGCCAAGGGCTGAGAAGAATCCCAGGCTTGGGAGATAGAAAGGGGTCTCTGAGGTTCTCTCTCCGGCCCCCCACGCCCATGACCACATTGGGCTTTGCAGCATACCCACAGTTCTGATAACAGGCCTTCGGAGAGGCGGAGAAGAACTCGGAGAAATGCACATACCACGCCCCACCTGGAAAAGCATGTTGGCATCGAAAGGCTCACAGGCCCGGCCGGTGGCTCCGTTGGTTGGAGCCTTGTCCCGATACACCGAGGTTTTGGGTTCCATCCCTGGTCAGGGCCCATACGAGAATCAACTAATGAATGCATAAATAAGTGGGACAACAAACCCATGTTTCTCTCTCCCTTCCTCTCACTCTCTAAAATTAATAAATGTAAAAAGGGGGGAGGGGGATATAAGAGGACTAAATGGTAATGGAAAAAATCAATTAAAAATAAGGCTCATAAAGTCTTGTATCAGAGAAATTTGCTGTATGCATCAGGCTTCTCCAGAGAAACAGAACCAACAGGATGGGGCGGGGGCTCCCTTATGGAATTGGCTCGCGCGACTGTGGAAGGCTGGCAAGTCTAACGTTTGCAGGGAAGCCTGGACATTCCCACAAAGTTGATGTTGTGACCGTGAGTCCGAAGGCTGAATACCTTCCTTTTCCAGGGATTTCAATCTTTTCTCTTAAGGTCTTTGAATTTACTCAGTCTACTGATTTAAATGTTAACCACGTCTAGAAATACCTTCCCAGCAACATCTAGGGCTGTTGGATCAAACAACTGGGCACCACACCCTCGCCCAGCTGACACATAAAAGTAACCATCGCACCTGCTTAACATTGTTTAACGTGCTTCTCACCAGGACACCTGCAGGTGCGACAAAAGCCCTGTTCCCCATTGCCTATCTGGCTGGACCCCCACAGGGGTGCGCCGGGGGCGTGACTCAGCCCTGCTTGAAGGGTGCGCTAGCCTGGTCTGCTTCGCAGTCTCTGATTTTCAGAAGGATCTTCCATCATTTCTGTCACTTCTGCCCTTACATCATTTGGCTCAGTGCCTCCTGCCCAGGACAGCACTTCAGTCGTCTGGAGCCCGTTTCTGTTCCCCTCCCTTCCTGGGGTGAGTCTTCTCACCCCAGGCTCCACCTGCAGAAATTTGGACCAGTAATCATGAGCCAGAACCTTCCAGAACCTTCCTCCTGGGCCGGCTGTCAGGCGTGCTTCAGGTTTAGGGCATTCTGCTGCCGAGCCCTGATAGCACCCTCTAGCCCCCCAAATCTGTGATTTGCACAGAGTATAAACAACTTTTTTTTTTTTAACCGGAAAAGCAACTGTTTTTCTTTGCCTGGGCTGTGGACTCCATGAAGGCATCAACCTAGCTCACGTTTGCTAAGCTCCTGAAACACCTCCTGCCATGCGTCCCATTTCCCATTTCCCTCCCCGTGGAGAACCTCACTTGTCATCTGGGCCAGCAAGGAGTCTGGCTGTGGGGAGAGGTAGGGAGGCGGTGGAAAAGCGGAAAGAGCACACTTGCTTTAGTGCTGTCTAGTTATGTCACGAAGCCGGGAAGTAACTGGAAGAGAATTATAACACAAAGCACTTTAATAGCTGGGACAAAAGTATGTATCACAAAGTGGAAACTGGGCCACGGTGCCTGGGAAGGCCCAGGTGGGCAGGACTGGAGGGAGTTTCAGAGGCCACCCTGGAGGCAGAACTGGCAAGATCCTGGCTGAGGAGGGCAGGCAGAGGACCTTGGAGGCACAAGTTCCACTAAGTGACAGTTCTGCTGAGCCTGCACCCCCCTATCACAGAGGGTCACTGTGGGTCTGTCTCCCCTGGGGACTGTCAATGTGGAGAGGGAACAGGCCTGCACCAAGGTAATCCCCAGGGAGGCTGAAGTCAGGGGCAGCTGAGTCCAGCAGCAGGAAAGGGGAAGCCCAGTGATATGCTGGCCAGCTCTGCCGCGATAGAAGGGCATGGGACCGGAACCCAGGTGTCGGCACCAGGCTGTTGGCCCCGGCTTCCCGCCGGCAGTCCTACTCAGGAACGCGGCTGGGTGAAGGCACGGATGCAGCCAGGCGGCACTCACTGGCTCCTCTGGACCCTGTGGTTTCCGTCCTTGCCCTTGTGCCTCACCTGGCTCAGGAAGGGAGCCCTCGCATTTTGGGGGGCAGGGGGTTGCAGAGCCAGGCAGGGATACAGCTTCTGGGGCGGGTGGGCGGGGGGGCTGAGGGACAGGGTGTGGAGGGTTCTTACCAAGAGCTGCCTGTTTTAGAATCTTTCACATGGGCCCCAGTTTATAGAATGAGACATTTGTAAACTTTGAGTTGACCTCCCTTCCCCATAGCCCCCTGATTTCTGACACGGAACTTCTGGTACTCAGGAGTGAACTAGAACCATAGTGGTTTTTGCCTTGTTATCCAGGGTTGCTCCTTTCAGCTCAAAGACAAATGCATGTAAACAGAGGGTATGCAAATAGCCGGGTTTTGTTTAAACCGCCGGCCCTGGAGCTTTTTTTGCAGGAAAAAAAATAATTATCCCAGGTGGATGGATATCCGGAAAGGCGGCCCGACACTCAGGCCTGTGGATCTGGCTTTCACTCAGCAGGCAGCAGGGGCGGGCTATTGCGTAAGGTACGTGGAGCTCTCGGTCGGTGGTCGCCGAAACGCAGTCCTCAGAGCCTCCGCTGGCCCACGGGAGGCTTCTAAGGGCGGCCGAAGCTCCAGTGCGCCGCCGGGACAGTCGGCAGCGGGCGCCCGAGGCTCCCAGGCCGCATCTTCCGGCCGCTCGACTGGCCGCGGGGCGGAGCGACGAGATCTCGCGACATTCCTGCACCGCCCCCGCTGGCGGCCAGCATGGCGGACTCCTCGCAGCTGCAGAAGAGGGGGCCTTTTCGCTCCACGTGGGCGCGAGCCCGCAAGACCCGGCCCCAGCTCATCCTCAGCCGCCGGCCCCGCCGCCGGCTCCGGATCCTGCGCTGGTGCGGCCGGAGGCGCCTACGGCGGCGGCTGCTGCAGGCCCAGGAGGCCGGCGCGGACTGGCGGGAGGGCACCTGCCCGGTGTCGCGCGCGGCAGCGGCCCCGAGGCCCAAGACCGCGGCCCCCAGCCCGGCCCCCAGCCCGGCCCCCAGCCCGGCCTCGGACGAGGAATCTGCCCCGAGTGCCCCCGCGCCCCTCCCCATCCCCCCGCTGCGGCCGGCCGGTCCGGGCCGCGCGTTGCTGCTGCTGCCGCGGGATCAGGTGAGTCGCGCCGAGAGGGAGCCTGGCGGGCATACAGGGAGGGCGGGGATGCTGTCCCGGGGGTCGCAGGCCGGGAGAAGACCTTGTCCCCTATGCGGGCTCTCCGGCCTCGATTCCTCCTGGCGGCGGTGCTGAGCAGAGGGGTAAGAAGAGTTCTGCCAAGACTGATCGAGACCTTTCAGACCTGAAAGGGACTTTAAAAGTAATAATTATTAATAAGAGGGTGCTTAGTAATGCCAGTCTCTGCGCGTTCTAAGTGTTGGGGTGTATGAACCCATTTAATGCTCTCAGCTCACATGGAGTCATTATCGCTGTTACTGCGAATGGTTGCAGAGGAAGGAACTGAGGTTTATTTTAGGTGACTTGCCAAAAGGAACACAGTACAGGCAGAGCCAGGATCCGAACCCACAGCCTGGTTGCAGGGTCCCCGCTCTTCCCCTTGGACTCTGGTCTGGGAGGTCCTACACGGAGACTTGGGAGGCAGTGTGCCTAGTTAAGGGCAAGGGCCATGAGGGGAGCAGAGCTGGGTTCATGGAACCCCTTTTTTTCTGTGTGTTCACATTCAGCAGCTGTATCCGTGGCTGCCATGAGATACGATCTTAGGTCAAAAAACGTTTTGTGCCTGATAGTCACCTACGACAATGTATTCTGTTACTTAGAAATTTGCCACCTTTTTACATGTGAATAACAAAGTTTCAGAAAATTTCCAACATTGGTAACAGAATCCTAACAGAACCTGTAATGTTATTTCTTCCTTTCTTTCTTCCTTTCCCTGCTAGGGTTTCACCTTCAGTGGGATCTGCCGAGTGACTTGCCTTTATGGCCAGGTGCAGGTGTTGGGTTTTACCATGGGCCAAGGCCAGCCTTCCCAAGATGTCTTCTCCACCTACACCCACTCGCGCCTCACCATCAACGCAGCTCATCACTCAGCACCGGAGAAAAGCAAGAAGGAGATGAAGAGGGAAGCCCGAACCTTGCTCAGGGCTCACCTTAACCGGGGTAATGGAAAGAACTGGGTAATTTACTGAGGATGTACTATAAACATAAGGCTAATAACTTTCAGACATGTATTATGGCCTAGACATTGCACACTTTACTGTATCTGTAAACCTCACCAGGGCCCTGAGAGGAAAACTCTTGTTTTCACCATTTTACAGATGAGAAGAGTTGCCCAAGGCCACACAGCTAGTAGATGGCAAACCTGTATTGACTTCTCAGTCCAGGCGTGTTCCTGTTAAGCAGTGTGGCCTCCTGAAAAAGACTCAAACCTAGTCCCTGCTCTCAGAGGGTTTGCAGTTTAGCCGAGGAAATGGCGGTCCGAAAGGGCACAGTGTTCAGCGGAGTTACCGTCTGTAAGGTGGCTGAATTTTCCTTATTTACAGATGACAGATGTTGGCTGATGAAGAATTTCTCTCCTTTGTGTTCCATCGTGATGCTGGAACGGCTGAAAACCTCCACCGTAAATTTCATAACCAGCCATCCAGGGTTATCTTACGTTTTCCTACAAGAGGTAAACCAGTTTTCATTCACAGTTTTACTAATTGCTTTCACCAAAACAGCCGTATTAAATGACCGTGTAGAGTGTTGGCTTTCGACGATGAGCCTGTCTTGTGCTGTAGGTCGTGCAGATTGTAATACATGTGTGCAGTAAAAATAACCAATATAGAGAGTTATGTCATGTAAAATCTCCCCTCCCTTGGTTTCATTCCCCAACAGAAGCCATCATTTCGTATTGTAGTTGAAATACCTTTTGGCATTTTTTTAAATGGTTATATTTGTATCTTGATTTAGTAACTTGAGACAGTGTACGCTTTCTCTAAACTGTGAGTAAACTCAGTGCACTTCTGCCCTCTCTTACCTCACCCGTCCGTTTTTCTGGCCACTTTACTCATTTCCTAAAGTTAAGTTGTTACTATAATTGCCTCCCATGAGCCACTAAATTGGCCCTGATCCATAGGATTATTGGACAGACTGGATGGTGAGGTATGAAGAAGAATCAAGGACTCACCAGGCTTTTTGGGCCAAACCCGTGGGTGCTCGGAGTTGCCATTAACTGAGATGGGGCAACTATGGGGGGGGTGTAGATGTGTTGACCTTGAGAGATGCCTGTTAGAAGTGGAGCCTGCAGTTAGAGAAGAGATGGGAAATGTGTGGAGCTTTAAGCAGAAGAGGGTTCCAGAGCCCTCTAGATGAGACAGTAACAGCAAGGGAGTGGATGCAGTTAGAATGGGAAGCTTCCGGGTGTGAGCCCCAGGCGCTCCCAAGTCCTGGGCTCCAGGAGTCGGAGAAAGCGCGGTCATCGACGTCAAAACCGAAGGCCTGCTCTGCTGTGCTCTAGGCTCCCGAGTTGCTGATAGGAAGACTTAACGCCAGGGAGATGGCACTGCTTTCATGACACCCTGTCCTTGGGATTGATGAGCTGTGATCCTGGAGGGATCTCTTCCTGGATCCTCTTCCATGCAGCGGCCTTATCCTGTCCAAGCCCCACCTCCCTCTGCTGGACCCGGCTCTTCCGTTCCTCAGGCCGCTTCCCCAGGTTTCCTGGCACCTGCGCTAGAACGCCGCTGGGCTTCGAGGACCTGCCTTCCACATCCTTTCGACTCTGTCTGCATCATTGCCTGTCTCTTTGCTTTGTTTTGAGGAATCGCCCCAACTTTATTCCATATAACCAGCCTGCTCTACAAGTGGCCTTCTTTTGCATTTTTCTTCTGGCACTTGTTTTTAAATTTCCACGCATTTTCTTTTTCTTGGGAGCATCCTACACAGGAAGTGAGCATTGGCCATGAAAACAGGCGTCGGGTGGCTTTAGGAAGAGCGGGGACAGGCCTTACCAAAGGCTTGGATTTGGGGGGTGAGGAAAAGAGGGGGGATCCAGTGTACCTTTTGTGGCTCACAATCGTATGAGGCATATTAATTCATAACTGAAGAAAAAAGGGTGCATTTCTTTCCATCTTTTCTAAAAGTTTGCATTGTTAATTTCAGAGTGCCACTTTCCAGATTAATGCTGAGTATTTCGCCTTGAGATCTGTTGGCATTAAAAAAGAGAAGAAAAAAAACGGCCTTCGTTTAACCGAGAGTGTCCTTTCAGCCCTGGAAGAGTTAGTTACCGTCTCCTGTGGTGAGTGACACATTGGTGAATTCGAGTATTTTCTACTAGAGCCTCACACGATTCCTGTGCGCGATGAGAGTCCTAAAGCAGGTGGCTCACTCTTGGTCAATGTCTGTTTCACCTCCAGAGGAAGTAGATGGCTGCCCTGTCATTCTGGTGTGTGGGGCGCAGGACATTGGAAAGTCAACATTTAATAGATACCTGATTAACCAGCTGTTAAATAGGTAAGAGTGTGTTTCTTGTTTTGACGTGTTGCTAGATTTGGGGCACGGAGGAGTTTTGATTGAAGAAACTGGGTGGGGATTATTCACAGCTCGGGACCAGGCCGCTCGGCTGGGGGCGGGCAGCGGCTGCTTCCCTGGGTCCTGGAGGGGGCTGACGACGTCTCGGGGCGCACTGGCCTTGCCTGTCACTGAGCGGGTCACTCGGTCTCAGAATCTGTATTTGTCCGTGTCCAGAGATGCAGAGTAGGGATACGTTCTGCTGTCATTTAAAGGTCAAGGTTTAGGAAAGATGAAGTTGAACCATGTCATGAATGGCCACTGTGACCTGTCACATGTTCTCTTTATGCTTTTTCTTTTTTTAACGTGGACCGAGCATTCCACCGAAGAGCCTGCCTGGGGTGGCTTATGGCTGTGCGGTCTTCAAGGTCTGATGTGTACCTCTGACACAGTAAAGCTAGCTGAGGTTTTTCTTTTACGTTTTAGTATTCCCTGCGTCGACTATTTGGAATGTGACCTGGGACAGACAGAATTTACTCCTCCGGGTTGCATTTCTTTACTTAATATTACGGAACCCGTTCTAGGTACGTATTAAATGTTTCTTAAATGACTTGGTATTATAAAATGCGAGAGTAATGAGACTTAACAAAAAACTCAAAAAGTGTAAGAAATAAGTATAAAAAATAATTTTCATCCTGCCAAACTCACAGTCTTCCCGTAACTGTTTCTCCAGCCTCCAAAAATTGAAAACAAACTAAGACACTTTCTAAGGTCTGCCTTAGTAACTGGACCCATTGTCCATGTTGTACATAAACGGGGAACACACCTTCCTTTAGTAGTAACATCTGACTTAGCCTTATACTGCGATCCTAACCGGGAAATTAACATTGATACAATACTATTAAGTAAGCTAGAGATTTTATTCTAAATTAACCAGTTATCCTACTAATATCCTTTTTCTGGTTCAGAATCCAAATCAGAATCCCTCGATGCTTTTTTTTCCCAATGGGAAAATACACATAACATATTTTAACCATCCATATGTGTGCAATTTAAAATTTAATAGCATTAAGTACAGTCATAACGTCGTATACCATTGTTTATTGAAATATATCCAAAACTTTTTCACCTCCCCAAACGGAAATCCCGCGCAGCATTCCTGCCGGCCGGGGCGGCGTCCCCTCTCGCAGTGGGTGCCTGAGACTGAGGGCGGTGCTGGCACCTGGCGACACGTGGTTTTTTCCTGTGCGCACTCACACATCATAAAGTTTCCAGCTTCTCTTTGGTGTCCTCAGATTGCCCGCATCATTACTCTTGTTCTTTGGGGTCATTACTGAGGAAAATAGGGTTGGATGGACACAAACACTGCGATACGGTGACAGCCAACTTGATAACTAAGTGACTGTATAGCGTGGACGTGCTGGACACAAAGGGACGATTTGTAGGATGGAACGAGATTTCATCACACGACTCAGAACAGTGCGCCTTTTAAACTTATGACTTGTTCATTTCTGGAATCTTTCATTAAATATTTGCAGACCATGGTTAACCGCAGATACTGAAACCGCAGATAAGCGGGGGGTGGGTCTGTATCAATAAGCAGTAACTCCCTGCTCCCGCTCTCCCTCCAGCCCCTAGGAACCTCTGTTCTACCTTCTGTCCCTAGGACGTTGCCTGTACCAGGTGCCTCACATAAATGAAATCACACAATACGTGTCCTAAGCCTAATGTAGCATGTATCAAAGGTTAATGGCTAAATATTATTCCATTATATGTACACATACCACGTTTTGTTTTTGTTTGTCCATTCAGCTGCTGGGTAGGCCCTTGACGTGTTTCTGCTTTGTGGCTATTTTGAGTAATATTGCTCTGAACGTTGGTGTATAGAGTCTGTTCAAGTCCCTGCTTTCAGTTCTTCTGGAGTGGATTTGCTGGGCCATTTGATTGTTCCACGTTTAACCTTTTGAGAAACTGCCAATTGCTTTTCATAATGACTACACTAGTTTACATTTGCATCAACAATACACAAGGGTTCCAGTCTTCAACAATACTCATTATTTTGATGATAGCCACTTGATCAGATGTGAAGTATTATCTCATTATGGTTTTGATTTGCTTTTTTCTAATGACTAATGAGGTTGAACAACTTCTCGCTTGCTTATTGTCCATTTGTAGGTGTGCTTTGGAGAAATGTCTTTTCAAGTCCTTTGCCCTTTTTTGAATTGGGTTGTTTTTTATTGAGTTTTGGGAGTTCTTTATATATTCTGGATATTACTCCCTTATCAGATATGATTTGCAAATATTTTCTCCCATTCCATAGGTGGTCTTTTCATTTTCTGGATGTCCTTCAATGCACAAACACTTAATTTTCATGAAGTCAGTTTATCTATTTTTTCTTTTATTGCTTATGCTATTGGTGACATATCTTCGAAGTTGTTGCCAAATCCATTATCATAAAGATTTTCTGTAATATTTTCTTCTAAGAGTTTTGTAAGTTTTAGCTCTAACATTTAGGACTTTGATCCCCAACTCCCACCCCCCAGCGGAGGAAAGGTTCATTTGTCAGGTGGCCAGACAGGACCAGAGACGAAATCAGCCTCCCTGATCCAGGCCTCTAGGCGGTTTATGGGGAACAAGTATGTGGATGCACTGGTAGGGCGAGTTTTAATCTAATTAGAAGAACTTGGCCATTTATGGTAAGAAGCTTCAGCCTCCTGGACAGGGGACCCTTTGCCTTTGAAAGAGTTCCGGTGTCAGGTTCTGGTCACGGGTTAGCCCCTTGGTTCTGTGGAAGGGTCCGGGGGGACTTCGGTTCCGGATACAGATGGAGGGCAAAGGCCGCCTCTGCGTGCTTCAGCCATGTGACTTGTGGTTTTGGTCTGTTGTCTCTGATTTGATCCATTTTTGAGTAAATTTTTAAAAAAGATTTCATTTGTTTTTAGAGAGAAAGGAAGGGAGGGAGAAAAAGAGGGAGAGAAACATCAATGTGCGAGAGCTACATTGATCCATTGCCTCTCACACGCCCCAGCTCGCTTGACAAGATGGTGTTTGTCGGGGTGTTCCACTCCACCTGTAACCAGGTGTGCTCTCTTCTTCTGGGCGCCATGGCTTCTCACTCTCCTCAGTGGGCAGACCCCTGGGGCAATCGGAGGCAGGAAATGTATGTGCGTTTAGAGCTGTGTGCACACGTACACATCTGTGTCCTTTCTGTTTATTAGGAGCTGTGAGTTTGCACCATCGTTCCAATTCCATTTTGACACCCAAGGTTCACCCTGGTCAGCTCTCCCACTTCTGCATTGTCAAGTTTCTTCTCTCATGAAAAGAGCCCAGGCTACGGTTATTCTCAGAGTATTTATGTACATAGTCGCTCAGTCTCTTTGTATTTGTTCCCCGCCCGTGGTCATGCAGGCCGCGCTTCAGCCGTGGGCTGCAACCCGAGGGGCGTCTCACTAGCTCTGTCTCAGGTGGCCTTGCACCGACCGTGTTGACCAAGACTCTGCTCGCCCTGCCAACCATGCTGTCACATGGTCCTGGTCACCTGCCTGCTGAGCGGTCTGGCCTGGCTCCAGCCAGAGGAGACGGGGCGTGGCCCGGGCTGAACCAACCTGAGGGAGTGTGAGCTCCAGCAGAGACGCCAAGCCCGCTGATACCTGCCAGCGGTGGGGCCTTGGCCAAGTTAGTCTCCCTCGGTTTTCCTCACCTGTGCAAGTGAGGGTAGTAAATGATACTATGTACCTCATAGGGTTTTTATGAAAATTAAAGGCTATGTATAACATACCTGGAACGTTAGTACTGAATTCCAACAAGTGATTGCTGCTATTACTAGTGACCCCTTTGTTAGAACGTAAGCCTTATGGCCCGGCTGGTGTGGCTCAGTGGATGGAGCACCGGCCTGCGAACCAAAGGGTGGCTGGTTCAGTTCCCAGTCAGGGCACGTGCCTGGGTTGCAGGCCAGGTCCCCAGTTGGGGGCATGTGAGAGGCACCCACACATTGATGTTTCCCTCTCCTTCTCCCTTCCCCATCTAAAAACAAACAAATAAATAAATAAAAGTACGTAAACCCTAAAAGGATGGAAACATTTGTTGTGTTCACAGATGTGTCCAGGATGTGATAGGTGCTCAGTAAATGTTTGTTGAATGAATGGCCTTATTAGGACATAACTGGAGTTAACTGTGTAGGTAAAATGGGCCCGTCTTTATATTAAGTTGGAAGCTTAAGAGTTCCGCCAACGGGACTACACCTGTTCACAGCAGTGGGGTGGTCGCAGCTCACCCAGGACTCTTTGTCCAGGGGGATGGCCGACCTCGCCACTTTGTGAGTCGTCGCGGTTTCATTACTCTTACCTCTGCCTTCTTAGGACCACCTTTCACCCACCAGAGGACACCGCAGAAGATGGTGTACTTTGGGAAATCTGCGTGTAAAAACAGCTGTGAGAATTACATTGAGACAATAAAGTACGTGTTCAGCTCCTACAAGAGGGAGTGCCCGCTCATCGTCAACACCATGGGCTGGGTGACAGGTGAGCCCGGAGGGCGCACCCGGCGGGGCGGGCGTGGGAGTCGGCCTGTGGCTCCCAGGCCTTCGGGCTGGAGCCGAGTTTTGAGGGACTCCTCGGGTCAGTCAGCTCTGTGCCTCAGTGAGCGTCCCCATCCCCCGTGGGCACATGGCGTCGCTCCGGCGCGCTGACCGCTCGTGTCGTCCACCGCCTCACAGACGAAGGGCTTCTGCTGCTCGTGGACCTGATCCGACTGCTGTCCCCCAGCCACGTCGTCCAGTTCAGCTCCGTCCGCTGCAGACCCATGCCCAGCCTCACCGCCGACTACGTGGACAGCCTGGACGGCTTGTACACGAAAAGCAAGTCCAAAGGCAGAAACAGAGGTTTCTTCCTGGCAGAGTTTGCAGAGAATTTGGAATTTGGTGACGAGGAAAAGGAGAGTCCAGTTGTATTTACTGGACATAAGCTGATGTGCGTCCAGTCGGACTTTGTGTTTAGAAAAACTCCAAGAAACAGGTAAATAAACCACCGTGACTGGAGCAGTCCATTGCCTTCTGTTTAGCGGGGCCTTCTGCCCTCCGTTCTGTAAAAGCAGCACGTCCCCTAACGCAGGGTCTCCAGCACAGGCACCTGGGCGCGAGGCAACGGCTGCTGTTTTCCCAGCAGAAATGGCCTGCCTGGTCTCCAGCTCTGGTCACCGAGAGCTTTGACTAGGAGGGTATTTGCGCTTCGTGTTTGGCCATCGGGTTTATAGGAAGGCGGGGTGTGCAGATACTAAGGTGTAAATGTCATCTATGTAATGACAAGTGTCCTCTGTTTCTGATTGGGGGGCAGATCTCGGAGGTGAAATCTCCACTTACCTCCTTCTGATTCACTTTGCAGAGACTTGCATAACCGAATTCTCCGGGACTTGGCCGTGTTAGGCTACCTTGGCCAGCTGCAGCCCCCGGTGCCGAAACCGCTTCACCCCCTCCATGGCCTGACACCCTATCAGGTATGACCTGGCCTCGGGCAGGGGTCAGCTTTATTTTAGCCAACGCCTCTGTAGCTTCCTGTGTGCCTAGTGCTCCTCTAACCACCTTATAACCCTTGGAACCAGCCTGCAATGTGGGGTCAGTGACTGTCCCCGTTTGTCAGCTGGGACGTGGGAGAACTGGAGTCAGGCCACAGTCGGCTCCAGAGTCCGTGCGCTTAGCTGGGCTGTGCTGGGTACGGTTCTGGTTCCGTGCTGGCTCCGAGTGGCCCGGCGGCTCTGGGATTAAACCCAGGCAGTCTGGTTCCAGCACCCCTGTTTCCGAGCTGTGTGTGACTCGGCTGTCATCTGTAGAACGGAGGCAGTGCTGACCCGGTAGAAAGGTCGTGTGGGTGCAGCGGGTGCTCGCAGTGGCACCTGGCCCCTGAGCACACTCATAAACCTTCGTGCTGCGTTGCTGTCAGCAGTGGATTCTAGCACCGCAGTGTCTGTGTCTTGGGGTCCAAGCTCTTAACTGTTTTGAGCCCTGGCTGGTGTGGGTCAGTGGATTGAGCGCCAGCCTGCAAACCAGAGGATCTCTAGTTCAATTCCCAGTCAGGGCACATGCCTAGGTGGCGGGCCAGATCCCCAGTAGGGAGCATATGAGAGGCAACCACACATGGATGTTTCTCTCCTTCTTTCTCCCTCCCTTTGCCTCTGTCTAAAAATAAATAAATCTAAAAATTAAAAGAAAAATTGTTTTGGGAAGAAACCACCTTAACATTAGGCTTCTGAATGATGGTAGAATAAAATAGTAACAGGTAGCATTTCTTAAGTGCTTACTCTGTGCTGTGCTCTGTTCTAAACCTGTGTTTGCTCCTTTTTTTTTTTTTTTTTAAGATTTTATTTATTTATTTTTAGAGAGGGGAAGGGAGGAAGAGGAGAGAAACATTGATGTGTGAGAGAAACATTGGTTGCCTCTCACGGCCCCCACTGGGCGTCTAGCCCACAACGCAGGCACGTGCCCTGACTGGGCGTTGAACCAGCGACCTTTCAGCTTTCAGGCCAGCGTTCAATCCGCTGAGCCACACCAGCCAGGGCCTGTGTTGACTCCTTCACTCACCTGGCCCTAGTATACTCCCCATTTTACAGATAATAGGACCAAGGCCAGGGACATCGGGTCAGCTGGCCCAGAGGGGCACAGTGAGCGTTTGGGCTGGGACTGCGGAGCCCAGAGCGCACCCCATGCCCTACAGCCTGTCCGGCATGGAGCCCTCCCGGGGGCCAGGCACTCTGCTCAGCTCCTGACAGGCGTGGCTTGGTGACTTTGTGGCGCCCCTGAGGGCGATGCTAGTGTGTCTCTGGCTTCCGGCTTGGAGCACTGGGTTCTGTCAGGTGGAGGAGACTGGCTTGAAGCCCCGCAGGCCAGAGCAGTGGGCCTGGACCTGTCCCTGTCACAGAGCCTGAGGCAGCTTGTTCGCTGGAGTTTTGCTCACTCAGAGCTGCTGTAGAACTGGATGGGGAACTCACAGGCCAGTAATTTAAACCGCCTTTTGTTATTTCAAATTCGTTTTTGAAGTCTAAATAACACATGTAACAAAATACTTCCCTTCCTTCAGAATTTGAAATTACCCAGAGAGTTATAGAAGAAAGGTGGTTGTTTACCTTGTGCTCCCTTCCCTGTGTTGCTGAGGGGATGAAGGGCAGCTTTTCTTCACGGACAGACTTGGACTTTCTCATTTTGGAGACCTGAGGGGGGGGCAGCGTCTTCTGCCCCCCTCCACCTCTACCAGCAGGACTCCTCTGGGGCCTCTACAAACTTGTGTCTTATGTGTCTCTTTCAAAAAGAAAATTCCAGGCATTCAGTTTAGATTTCTAGCAAGTAGATGGTACCCAAGAACTTGGTGTAAGTTTCTCAGGCTCTTTGCATTAAAGCAGTAAAGCTCAAAGCAGATGCTGGTTGGTGTTTCCATTCTGTTTATGTACTTTTCAGTAGGCAGTTTGGCAGACATGCCTTCGATAGCTGGCTAGTCAGCTGATGAAATTAAAAGCAGTTTCTCAATTAGAACTAATGGCGGTGGGGGGATAGTGAAGGGTAAAGGGCGTCATATATACGGTGATGGGAGAGTTGACTTCAGGTTGGGGACACACCGTGCAATATACAGATGATGTATCATAGAACTGTACACTGGAGACCTGTATAATTTTATTAACCAATGCCACCCCAATAGATTTAATTTAAAAAAATAAAGCCTTAATAGAGGGAGACGCACGCTTGTTTTCCAGGTCCCTTTCAGCGCGGTCGCGCTCCGGGTTATTCACTCCGACGTCGCGCCCACCCACGTGCTGTACGCTGTAAACGCCAGCTGGGTTGCCCTTTGCAAGATCCTGGATGATGTGAGAGGATATGCAAATGGGCCCATCCTGCTCGCTCAGACGCCGGTCTGCGACTGCGTGGGGTTCGGTGAGTGCGAGGGAAATGTGCCTACGAACCTACTGAAACTGATTCACTTCTCCGGCGGTGGCAGCCGGTCTGGGTCTCCGAGCTGTGTCGGCTCGAGGGGTCCGAGGGCTTCTGTCCTGCAGGGCAGCAGGCCTCAGGCGGGAGGGCAGGAAGGCGGGAAGGAAGCGGTTCTTTCTCCGCTGCTCCTGCCAGCTTCTCTGAATCTAGGGTTCTTGAGGGCCTGGCGACAGCCTCCTCACCCAATGTCCCTGCCCCAGGCCGCCTCCCCCACTGCGGGGGCGCAGAGTCCAGCTTCGCGCTGGCTTCCCGGAGGATTGCTCCGGCCCAGCCGCACGTCGGAGCCCAAGCCCGTGTGCCCCGTGCACCTCTCCACTTGGACAGCTCACTGGCATTTAGGACTTGGGTCCAAAACTGAGGTCCTGATGGGTCCATACACCTGATGTTCTCCCCGGCTCTTCTCCCACCCATTGCACGTCCTGCCCCATGTACTTCCTCTTCCCTTGGGGTCCTTCAAGGGGTCCTTCAGAGGTCCACGCTGGTGTTCGGGCCAGAGCACTGGGTCCTTCTGGGCAGCCCCTTCTTTGTTCTCCGCATCCGCCCCACTAGCAGGTCAGGTAGCTTCTCTGTCCAAAATGTGTCAGGCTCCTCCCTCTTGTGCCTTCACTGTGCCAGGGGAGCATCATCGGTTCTGCGCTGGCCACGGAAACGCTTCCTGACTGGACGCCACGCTCGGGGGTGGTCCAAGCGCCAATGATGACATCACGTCCTGGCGTCCCGGCGTTTCCGCAGCGCAGGTCCACACCTGGCCTGCGTCTCGCGGTGCCCGGCCCACCTCAGGGGACCGTCCCTTGGCTCATGAGGTCAATAAGTGTCAGTGAATGTGTCTGGAAGGGCAACCCAAAAGTAGCAAAGTCTTTAAGTAATTACACGTTTCTGATTTATGCAATGCTGGACTTCTCAAGGGCATGCGCACGAAGATTGTGTCCCTTTGTACAGACCACAAAGAAGGAACTGGTGATGGGAGGGACCGAGTCACCTCTGCCTCTCCCGTGCGGGCCGGAGGTGAGACAGCCTAGGGCTTGGGCACAAAGACCAGTTCGGTGCCTCGTGGCTGCACAAGGCGACGCGCACCAAGTCTCCCGATACTCACATACTCCATCTCTTACAGCTTTGTATTTTCAAAGTAAAACCCAGCTGAAATCGAAACTCTTCTCTAAGAGCCGCCCTCTGGTGGGGAGTGGGGGGAGGCTTGCTGCCTCGCGGGAAGGGTGATGTCTGTGTCCGTGCATCCTCCAGGGATTTGTAGAGGTGTTGACATGGAGAAGAGGCTGTACCACATCCTCACGCCTGTGCCCCCGGCAGAGCTCCGGAACGTGAACTGTCTGCTGGTCGGAGCCATTTCCGTGCCTCAGTGTGTCCTCAAGAGCCAGGTGGGTGTGGCCCCAGGGACGGCCCCGGGAAAGCTGGCCATGGACGGAGCAGGGACAGCACGGGCAAGAGTCTTGGACCAGGCCACTGCCGGGGAGACGCAGACTGTGTCGTAGAGGCTGAAGGGGGTGGCGGGAGGGGACCGAGGGAGCTGGTCTCCCAGGAGGAGCTGGGGAGAGGAGGGTGGCGGCGGCTCCCGGGGAGAGTCCCCCAAGACAGTATGTGCCTCGGGTGCACCCATGGGGAGGTCATGGGAAGGTCATGTTGGCCAAGGGCACCGGCATGGCCCCAAAGCCGGACTGCAGGGCCTGTGAGTGGCCTGGTCTAACTGCTTTTTTGAGAGGGAAATGCCACGCCTACCTATTCGGGCTGTTTGACATGTTTGTGGAGCTGATCTGCATGGAAAGGGGCAGTCACCTTTGCACCGGGGCCAGGCCCCTGGCCCTTCGAGGGCGGGGCACGGGTTTCGAGGGGGCGGCCCGCGCTCAGTCTCGCTTGTAACCCGTGCCCTGGGGAGGAGGGTGGGAGTGTGGGTTGGTGGTGTTCCCACACCGTCTCTGTTTCCATTTCAGCGTGGGCTCGAGGGGACCGTGCCTTACATCACGACGGATTATAATCTTAGACTTCCTGGAGCATCAGGAGAAATTGGAGCAAGAGAGACGGAGGAAACGGGTAAAGACAGACAGCACCCCAAAACTAAATTCTATCGAAAATCGAAGTGATGTTTTGAATCAGGGAAGAAAAGCTTGACTCTGTCTCCAGCCTGCCGTCGGCAGACGGACGGCTCGTGTGGCTGTGGGCAGTGCCTTTCCGTGGCAGTGTCTCCTGCAAAGCTCGTGGAAGTTTATGGTCATTAAAGCCCCTTCTTAAAGCGACGTGACCCGGCTTTGCCCTGGGCTGCTGTGCGGTTCATCAGACATGATGTTTTATCTTCCAAAGGGACGAAGCAGTGGGGGAAAGACTGTACGCCATTGAAACAAAGAATACAGTCGATTCCTCAGAAAGTTCTTCAGGGACCTGGTTGGTGGCATCTGGATAAAAATAGGGACACTGGGGCCACGGGAGTGCACCCAGGAGGAAGGCAGGCTGGCCAGCGGGGTCCAGGTGCAGCAGGATGCGGGGACCACCGGCGGGGTCCGCCCGGGCCTGGCCGCAGCCCCTGCGGTCATTCCCATCCCTGATCATGTGAAGCCGTCCGGCCCCTCCCCCACCCCTGTGTGTCAGTGTAGAACATGGCGTCTCGTCTTTAATCAAGGGCTAGCCGATGAAAGCTTGGACTCCAGAACCTTTCACCCTCTTGGTTGATCCAATGGTTTTATGCCGAAAAGATTGCTCTCAAAGCCGGGAAGCCTGTCCTTGGGTTTCTGAAACTACATTTGTCCTCACTGACTCCTCACCTGAGACAGAGGATACGGCCTGGGCAGAGCCGGGCACCAGGCTCTTTGGAAGGGGCCTGGCGGGGCAGCGCTGGGGGAAGGGCGGGCGGCGGGACCTGAACTTGCACGTGCTCACAGCTCTGCCGTTGAACGCTTTGTCCTGGGTGTGGGAGGCTGGCGACAGTGCCGCTCTCCCCGGGGGCGGCCCGTCCCCCCTCTTCCCCCACCGGGGCTCACGGCCCCTGTGCCCCGAGGCTGGAGCGCTGTGGGTGAGCGAGGAGGGGCGGCCTGGGCTGCGCCGGTTCCACGTGGGGGGTGCTGAGATACCCCTGAAGCAGCGGTTCCGCCTGGCATCTGAACCCCGCCTCTCAGCAGACCTCGTTGAGGGAGGCTATTAGGACATGCAGGTTTTTAACACCTGGATTCGTGTAAGTCATTGGTCCTCATTGTCTAAGTGCCGAGCACCCGCTAGGCCCACAGCCGTGCACATCCTCCCAGAACCCTGGGCACTCGAGGCTGAATTTCAACATTGTAGAGACCGTTTCCGGTCTAACTTCTTAGTCGCCTCTTATTTATATTTAAATTTACTTTGTACATGTGTTCTATCTTGGCCTTGCGAAGACCTTTGAGACAATCCGCCACCGTCCGCTTTCTGCCTCCTTCCCCAGTTCCTTGTGTCTGTGTCACAATCGTCACTGTGGGCCGTCAGCAGCCGTCCGAGAACGGAAGTGCTGCCCTGTCTTTTGCCGCTTCACTGAATCCAGCCTTGCCTTCAGAGTCACCCCTGGCGGGGGCTAAGGATGCGGCCTTACTTCGGCCCCATCTGGAAAGAGCACATCGCCGCTAGAGGGAGCTGTCAGCCGCAGTCGGGGCCAGGCCCTCCGGCGTGGGCGGCAGGCCTGTGCGGGCCTCGGGATTCGGAGGGCCTGGCGTCGGGCCTCCGCGCCGGCTCCCGGGGTGCTGCTCCGACCGGCCGCGACCGGCCGCGGCACCGGGGACCTTGGATGTCCCTCTGATGGTCCGTGTCGATGGTCGGGGCTTGTTCTTGCTGTAGTCTGTTGTGGTTCAGGATGAGTAGGGATGAGTCTGCCCTGGAGTTACTCTGAGTCTTGTATGTGTGTCATTTCCAACGCGGCACATGCTTATTTTAAGGAAATTAAAGAGCTATGTGACTTAGAATGTGAAAATCCTGAGTCGCTGATTGTGGATTCTTTAAAGTCATTTCTTTTAAAGAGATCCTTTTATAGAAAAGGGAGATATGAAAATAAATGACTAGATTCTCAAATTCTAGGATTCATTTTATTTTATAAACAAAAACAGCTCAGTTGCTTGTGCCTGTCCCCGTTAGCTCTGGGGGTGGGTACCCTCTGCAACCCCTACCTGGAAACAAGGGTAGCGATGAGGGGCGGGGCAGTGAGCTGGCCCTCCAGGTGCTTTGGATTATGATTTTGGGGAAATCCGAATCTGGGAGTGGCTCATGGGAGGGGAGAGTAGGGGTCGGAAGGCCCAGGGCTGAGCAGAGGGCCCCGCCTCCCCCGCTGGGGTCCTTTGGCAGGTGGTTACCCTGCTGGACACTCAGCTCTCTGCCTGGCAGACTGCGGGGACCAAGAGACGTGGGTATAGGGTACCTTTTTTACCAAATGGCAAATTTTTAAAACATTGTTTCATTAGCAGACTTCTTTAAGGATTCAGCAGTGGCGTGTGTTAGACAGCAGGCCCTGGAGTCTGAGCTCTGAGGCCCCGCCCGGCTGGGACGCTGGCTGGCAGGGCGGCTGGGAGAGAGCCCTCCCTTGGCCTGTTCCGCCGAGGCTGGGGAGCAGGCTGCCCCCTGTGGCCCCTGCCCACGCGGTGCCTGAGGCCTGGCTGTAAGTGGGGCGTGACTTGGTGGGCGGCCCGCCTCCGGTCCGGCCGCAGACTCCCAGAAGGCAGTGACCGAGATCGTACTGTCCACGGTCATGTTGGGACAAAGCAGAAACTCAGTGTTGGAATCAGAAACCATTCGACCTGTCCCGCCTCTGGGCAAGTTCACCTTAAAACCGGTCTCCTGGCTAAAGAGCTCCAGAGAAGTGGGTTCTGTGGCCCCCGGTAATGACCCATTCCTGGGAGTTTGTCCTAAACCCCCATTTAGTGCTTTTGAACTGGCATGATAAGTTCGCACATGTAGAGAATGATCGCTAAGCCCACCCGCCACGTGGATAATCACTTCATGCTCTGGTGCTGTCTCATCTGGTATTTTTCTAAATCGCGTGTGTTTTTTACATCGGTGTTCTGCTGTACATGTGGTTTTCTATCCAGCTCTTTTCACTTAACATTATTTTGTATCATTAAATATTTTTGAGAACACGAACTGGTGTGATTTCATTACACATGTAGACCATTCTGTTCCAGATTATCTTGGTGCATCGCAGCTGTGGCGGCAGAACCGCTGGGTGAAATAAGACCCCGGAAGGGCTGTGCACGCTCGGGGCACGGCGTGCGGACAGGAAGCCCCGGCAGGTGCCTGCGCCTCTTTCCACTTCAGTGTTGGACGCAGTGGCAATTCAGTTTAGTTTTTCTTTTTGGGCCCAAGAATGTGAGCTGACAGAGGATGCTCTGTCCTTGCTGGTCTGTCTGTGAGAGTGTAGTAGAAGGAAAAAAAAAAATTTGCTTCCAGAAAGGTTCAAATTAAGAAAGAAAGAAAAAGGGCCTGGGGTCTACGCCTGTAACCGCCCCGGTCCCAACTCCCCGGGTTGGACCTGGCATGGGAAGTGAGACTTGGCTGACAGGCCAGACCTGAACAGTGGCTAAAATAAATATGGGGGCCATCTGTGCTGTGAAGGGGAAAAAGCCACGTGATTTTGGGGCCTCTGCCGAAAGGCTTTGCTAAGCTAAAGATTTCCAGGGTTTTGCCAGGAAAAGAACGGGGTGGGGGTGGGGGGCAATCTGAAAGGAGCCGCCCCCCCCAGGGGCAGCAGGTCCAATCTGGAAGTGCTGGGAGCTGAGTAAGCAACAGCTGAGCCGGCACACAATGTGTTGAGCTGGGAAGCCAGGGGTTGCCATGGCAACTGGCCCTGTTGCCGCCGTGGCTCACTAGACTGTGGCTTAGGTTTTGCTAAGGCTTTGGAACTGGCGTGATCTCCAGGCTGTGAACGTCTGCCCGGCAGGGAGAAGCCACCACACGCAGGCTTTCCTCCTTGCTGGGACGGCTGACGGGGCTGCTGCTGGGACCGCGCAGCCCTGGGTCCCTGTGGCGTTGCTTTCTGGGAATAGAAGGCGCGCCAAGACAGCCAGCAGTGGGAGAAGACGGTTCCAGGGAGCGAATGGGTACTTGGGAATGGAAAATCCAAGGGGAGAAAACCACCCGCAGGGAAGCACAGTGCAAACTGTGGCCACGAAGTTCTTTTGTTAAAGTATACGGCACCCCGGGGGCCTGCGGCGGAGGGAAGCAAACGGGCCCAGCGGAGAGCTCCGCGGGTGTCTGTGCACACGGGGTCAGCCGGAGCAACTAAGATTGGGGCACGTCCGGGAGGAGCCCCTGGCGTTGGGACTGCAGCTGGGCAGAGAGGGACGCAGACCCGTGGGCCTGGCACGTGGCTCGAGGGCCACCGCCCCAGAGGTCAAGCATGAATTCAGTCCTGACAAAGTCCGGGTCCCCACCCCACAGCTGGCTGAGCCTCCGTCCTGGAACCAGTGAGTATCTTTCCTTCCCCTTTTGTCCAGAACAGAGGGCTGACGACAGTGGGCCAGGAGAGGGGACTTTGGGGGTCTCGGAGGGGCCACTGAGAGCCCGTGCTTGCTGAATCAGTCTAGATGCTTTAAGAACCTCTCCTGGCCCCAGCTGGGGTGGCTCAGCAGATTGAGTGTGGGCCTGCAAACTGAAAGGTCTCTGCTTCGAGACCCAGTCCGGGCACATGCCTGGGTTCTGGACCAGGACCCCAGTAGGGGGTGAGCTAGAGGCAACTGGTCAGCATACCTCTCACACGTCGACTTTTTCTCCTCTTTCTCCCTCCCTTCCCCTCTCTCTAAAAGTAAATAAGTAAAACCTTTAAAAAAAAAAAAAAAAAAAAAAGAGCCCCTCCTGCCACCTGAGCCCGTTTTGTCCTCACTGACCCGTGAGTTGACGAGAGTGTGGAAGGCCAGGGTCGCCCAGCCCAGCGGTTTAGCCCTCAGCCCTGACTCAGGGGTGCGGGTAGTTGCCCCGTCTCCTGAGCAGGCTGAGCAGGGAGGCCTTCTGTTGCAGCCACCTGCTCCGGAAAGGAGTGAGGGCAAGATCTAGGCTTAAGAATTGCCCTTCTGGCAGACGAAGGGGGCATGATGGGAAGGTGCCCAAGACCCTTCAAAGTGTCACACAGTTGTGTTCCCATTGCTAGGATGGTCTGGAACAGGTTCTCGGCCTTTGTAGCTACTTTAAAAAGGGACACGAACCCTGGTCAGTGTGGCTCAGTCAGTTGGAATGTTGTCCTATAAACCAAAAGGTTGCAGGTTGGATTCCCAGTCAGGGCACCTAGGAAAGGCAACCGATCGATGATGCTTCTCACATCAATGTTTCTCTCCCTCCCTCCCTCCCTTCCCTTCTCTCTAAGATCAAAAATCATGTCCTTGGGTGAGGATAAAAGAAGGGGGGGCATGAGATTCCTCCTAAACCGTCGATATTTAAGTTCACGTTGCCGTACGCCGTGACGCATTTAGGGGATGTGGACTCAGCGGGAGTGTTCATGGGCTCAGAGAGCCCTCCTGCACCCCAGAACCAGAGGCCTGCC